CAATTCCTGTTTTAAATTAAACAAAAACACAATTAGTTGCTTTTATTTTTATTTTCACGATTTTTTCACCTTTTCACTTCAATCTTCAATCACAGACTGATTAATTAATAAAATTTTCTTTGAAAGTTTACTGCGATTGGAACATTTTTGTTGCTTACAGGAGAATTAATTTTATTTTCAGAGATATCCATGATTGTCATTTTTATTCACTTAAATAGATTTTTATCAATTCTTAATTGCTAATTTAATTTAATTCATTCATTCCTAATAAACTGTGAAATATTTAATTAATTAATTGTTGTGTAAAGAATTTGATTCGTTGGTAAATATTGAAGATGCATCTAAAAATTGAATCAAATTCTTGAAAATTCTTGAAATATCTTGTGGGTTATCAAAATCATTTATCTCTGATTACGACAGAGCAATTTTCCCAGACTTCCTATAAAATAATTAAGATGTATCTTCCTTTATACGAATATCTATGTCTACATAAATTAAGACATGACGGTTATTATGGCAATAATTATAATTGTTAAGAGAACGTCAAGATATAATTTTAGGAACCAACATTAAACATCCTTCAATAAATCATCTCGCAAATTGTTTAGCCACAAAGCGGTCAATTTGTAGAAAGAACTTAAAATGTTTTTAAGAATCGCAATCACGGTTTACATATCGAACAATATGTTTTGAATGGTTTCAGATTTCATTTATCCACTTTGCATGATGATTAGTAAAACGAAAAAAAAATTATGTTAGCAATGATCGTAAATGAACAAACCGCCAATTAATAAACTCAGATTTCAATTTTAACATTAGCTCCTTAATTTGTCTCAAAATTTTTCATTACTGATACATGAAGTTACTTCCCAACTCGCATCGTTTCATCGTCTAATAACGTATCAAGATATCCACGTTTATTGAGAAACGGAAGCCAACATTTAACCGCCTTTTTGTAGTTGTCATTGTCGTATAATCTCGCGAGCTTCTCAGAATTATCTTCGTCTGATAAGAATATTTCCATGCTGAATTCTTCATTGGAATCATATTTTGCGAAAAACAATGTTCCAGTCATCGATGAACAAGCTTTAATAAAAATTATTGATTGTGAGTGAATTTTCAAAGATATTAAAACACTCACCAAAGAAACCTTTCTCTAAAAGGTCAATGTGGAGTTCTGACAACGTTGGAATGTGACCAACGTATTTGAGCATCTTCAAGGATTCTGACAGTTGTTCATGGTAAAAGGAAATAAATGTGTCGAAATGTTCAACTTTGACGTTATCTTCCACTGATGTAATCAAAAAATAAAGTAAATCTGCAGCTGGACTTCCCCAAAATGACAATTCATAATCAATCATTAGAACGTCATTTACGGAATTAGTTTCGTGGTCAAACCTGAACATTAAATTGTTTACCCAAACATCTCCGTGGTTCATAACTTGAAATCCACATTTCATTGGCTCTGCAACGTTCGTAAATGCTGCTAAAAATTTCTTAACATTCCAATTAGAAATTTTATTCGCGATGTATTCAAACCCTTCATTATTTCGTACAGAAGTCTCGAAAGCTTCAAGCATTCTTCGGGAAGCGTCAATCATCGAACCTTCTTCAGGAAATAAGGGAATTATTTTTCTGTCAAAGTGATCGTCAATTTTTCCACTCTTAAATAAAAATAAATTGCTTCAAAGATGAGTTTTTCATTATCAGAATTGACAAACCTCCTGATAAAGAATTGCACTTGCAGCATGGAATTTAGCGAGTTTCATCAACAACATTTTCGTTTGTTCCATGTTGAGACCAACTTTCCTGTTCAGCATTTCATAACCAGCAGCTTTCAAATCATCCAGCACAATGATCTCATAAGGATTAGTTTTAAATACAACATCTTGTGGTCCAAACTTAATAACTTTAGCAGCTATTTCAAACCAAATATTTTTGACACTTTTAAGAACTTTCTCGTATATCGCTCGTTCTCGATGAAAGGAGTTCAATGTTTTCATCTCTTCGAGGGTCAACGATGCTTTGATGATCACGTCAACAGATTTTTTCTCATTCGTCTCAATCATTTCAATCTTGATTTTTGCACGATAGAGAACTGAAACATAATTCTCGTTCTTGCCAGTGGCTGGCGATAACAAAATCAACTGCAATTTGAATCCATTTCTTGAATTTCCTAATTTTTTCTCAACAATTTCATTAAAGAAATCATCTCCCAATACGCTACTATTTAAAAAATCTTCTGATTGTTGATCGTAATTCGACATTTTAAGTTTCTTTTCTGTCAAAGAACCAAACACAAACTGAGAGGAAATAAAATGAAACGAAATATTTTTGTCATGAATTTCATTCTTATAATGTAAACAACGAATTGAATTTCGACCCAACTTGATCACTGAAATACGATATGCTCGCAATAAATTCTACAAACGTCATAAACACAAAAAATGTTTTTGTGTATAAAACAAAATTTAAATTCCTCCAATTTTCTTATCTGAATTGGTAAAAGATTCAATAAACAACAAGTTAGTGCAACATCTTAAGATTAATTTGACTCAAAAAAAAATTTCTTCTTTAAAGAATTCTTGTGCAACACAAAATTTCAAGAAAATTAAAATATCTTGCCAGAGGAAAAATCATCAATCCATCAATGTTTAAAGGTTGATACATAAATATGTTTATTTAAACCTTACCGAGAAATATTCGTTCATACATTGTATGCATTTCCCCTGCAACAATTTATCTTCTAATAGAAGCTTTTAGAGAAATCAATCGATATGTTTCAAAGCTTACAATGTATGCAACATCCATAAAACATTTTTATTTATATTTTATTCCACACCACAGCTTTCAAAGATTGTGCAAGCATATAAAAGCAGCAAGCAATGTTTGTCTGTTTATCGACTGTTTTAATGATCAAACAAAACAAACGTTTATTGATTATTATGTTACATATGTTTTCAATTGCTCAAAGCTATGCTCCACAATAATTTCATGTAATAATTGCTATGATTTAATGTTCGTGAAATAAAATATTTTATTTTTTCTTCACAAATCATTTAAGAACGAGAACGTGACGTGAAATTTAATGGTTCGTATTATGGCTTATGATGTAATGAACACAAAAGATGTATCAATGATGACGATCCATTAAATTGGGCGGTTTATGTGGTATGTCAGACACATTAATAATTAAATAAATACAGCAAGCAGTTATCGAATCATAAATTTGTGCTTTTACAAATCTGACATTGATGTCGTTATTTCTTTTTCCAACGAGCATGAACATAAATAATAAGTGAGTTTATTTTGTCAGCATTATTATAAGTGAAGAGAGATTTAAGGAAAAGTTAATGGGGAAATATTTATAGTATGTGCCTTTGAAATTTAACTATCTACTTAATAAAATATTTTTGTTTTCATCGGAATGTAATTTATTTTGAACCTAAAATAAGAGCAAATCTGTTTGATGTACATTTAAATATTTCGGTTGTTGGTTTGATATTTGAAAAGGCTTTTTGAGTCACGTAAATGTTTGCATAATAAATTGTTAAATTTATAGAAAAGATTTTAATATTTCTCTCTTTTAAATTCATTTCCTTTAACTTGTCTTATTTAGATATTCATTCATATTTTATAAGTCATGGAAATGAAAAACATTTTTCCACATGAAACTTTCACATCTTTATTTTCATGTCAAAAAGTCCATTCAATGACATATCAAAGCTTTTCTCATGATCAGATAATAAATTCTATCACGATTTGAGTTACAAGCTAGGGTTTAAAAGTCCTTTTACGTTGATTGCTTTCTTATTAAAAAAAATAAGTGATTGGACAATTTTCTAGAAAATCTCAGAAATCGATAACCAAGGTTAAGCTACGAAGTTTAAAAACCGAAAACTGAAGTAACAGGAAAAATGTCAATTTTCAGCGGATATTAAAATTCCGAAATTGAGTCACGTCTAGTAGTGCTAGAATGACGGGAGAAACAGGTGAAAAATAATGTAATTGAATTCCAAATATGATGGAGAAAAAAAATCCCTTGAAACAGAAAAGTGTTTTATTTATTTCAAATTTCCGTTTCCTGTCTTCTACCGATGGGCTTTTATATCTTCTTCTTCTTCTTACATTTTATATATTGAGACGAAAGTTTTGCTTTCTCAAAATCAAATAATGCGGGCTGAATAGGAAGCAGAACTGAAGCGTCGAAAAGATTGATTCCATTTTCTAGTAGGATATTAAAGCATACCAACTCGTCTTCGTTTTGTTTTCTTTTTATCTTCTTCTTCATTCTTTCTTACGACGATGATTAGCAAATAACTTTAATCTCTTCTTTCCTTAGCATAATTGATATTAAGTGAGCTGGAAATTCAATGAACTCAACGACTCGACCCAATGACATTGCGAACCTTTCATCAGTTGAAATCTAAGAAAATTTCATTGATAAAAGATGTTCGACAACGCTTTTCAATGACATAACATTCGTCATTCTTTGGCAATGTTATTTATAGGAAAATTCCCATTTTTATTTTTTATTTTCTTTAATGTAAGAAGCAATCGGGTAAAATTGAAAATGAAATGACAAATCAGATTTTAATAATTGAAAGAAAATTTGTTTTCGCTTTCTTTTTCTATTTTTCATTCTTCAGGAAATTGAAGGAAAAGCGGAAAAATGTTTATTCAATTCAAGAGCATCTTCGTTGTAATTCCAAACGGAAATGAGAAAAAAAATTGTAATGACTTAAGCGAAAGACGGGAAGAAAGATTGGATATCCTCATTGCAGCTATTCAACTTGAAACTTGATTGTACACGCGAAATTCAAAGGAAACTTTTTTAATTCATGTTACGTTCGAGTCGACTTCTGAAATTTCTAACCACTTCTATGGCATTTGAGTAATTTTAAATAATCTGTGGAAATAAAATCAAATCGACCAGAACATTTCCTTTTAATATTCTCAACCAGAGGAAATTAATGAACAATGACCAACAAAACATTGTAATAAAATCTCATCTCAGACAAGTTTTAATGAATAAAACATGTCGGTCGTATCTCGAGTGGCAAATATTGCTATGAAATTGTTCTATGAACAATTGGGTCGATGGGAAGCTTCGTTTATTGAAATAATTTTGTGTTGTGCAGTTTTTGAAGAGAATAATGCTGATGATATTAAATTATCTATCTACTTGCGATATTTCTTCTTTTCATATTATTATAATGAGAGATTTCACTTTAATGTTATCTAACAGCATGGAAGCTTTACAATTCACATTTAAGATTAATTTTTTAGGTAATAACTCTGCCACGACGCTATTAAAACCAAGTTCTATGCAGATTCCCTTGCTTATTTCATGTTTGTTTGATATTTTTTTATTAGCATAACTATAGCATAGAAAAGAAGAAGAAAATTAGAATATCACATTAAATGCAGAAACATAATTCAATTATTTTTGCAGCGCTTTGCATTTCAGATCTCTTCATCAGCTCGGAAGGATGTGATAAATGCATTAAGAAACCATAAGCATCAGTAGATGATGGAATCATAAAAAATAAAAAGCTAACTTAGCACACACAGTTGAAGGTTTTTCTCAGTTGAAATCTCCAAGTGTCGTCATTGTTTTTATATGTAAAGCTTAAAGCATGTGAAATTATATGACAGTTAATTGCGTTCTAAACTAAATTTAATAGAAATTCAGTGTTATGTTTTAAATTCATTAATTTTGTTGGCAATCATTTCATCCTAATAATTTATAAGGAATCTTTTGTCTTATTTTCCATTCAATGAAAGCATCAGAAAGTTATGAAAGCATCATTAACTAACGATAATATGAAATAAAAACTTTATATCATTTCATATTGTCGATAGAAGAAGATTATTAATGAGAAGATAATACTTTTGATCTGAAAGTCTTAAGTAAAATATCATGAATCTCATTGTGAACCCACCCACACATTCTCTACCTGACAATATAAATGGTGCGGTTAACTGTTTGCTTTTCCTTTTCTTTATTGTGTAATTTACGTCCAAGTCGTATTGGTTTATTGAACAATTTTCAGGCATAAACATTCGTGTCTTCACGTAATGTTGTTGATTCTGTATTTAATTACCGTACGATATGAACACGTTTGGCCTCTAAACTAATCACACTTACCGAGGACAATGCGGAAAGCTTTAACGGTAAGAGACGAATAAAATTTATTTCCACATTATTCAAAGTGATTCCGAATAGAAAGCACAAAGCAAAACATTTTTCCTTGTTCTCATTCAGACATTTTATTGTGACTTATGAACTCGAAACTTCATTCACAGCTTTTAAAGTCTTTAAGTTAAATAAAAATCCAAATAAGTAAATATAAACAGAAATAAAAAGCAACAAAATATCCTTGAAATGTTTACATACAAATAAAATATGAGAATGAAATAATAGAAAAATTGTTTATTAAAAAAACGGCGATTGCGCGTAGAAACTTTGTGCTTTTACATTTCAAGCTTGAATTTTTAAAATCAATTGATTCATAGTATGATAATTAATTTAAATGTGAACGGAGCAAATGTGTAACGTTGTGCGGTTGATTAAATAAAAGATTGTGACAATGTTGAGTGAAACTTAATAATTCAACGAAATGATTACAATCTAAATGCTGACCCCTTCCAGTTACTTGACCAATACAAAAAGGATTAAAAATAAAATTCTGGCTTTTAATCGAGCGAAAGTACCACAAACGCTTCAACGTCCAAAGAAATGTCCTTCACGATTGTTACACAACAGTTTCAATTTTCATTCTCTTTTACTGCCTCGCGTACGACATTTCGGGAGAGCTGAATAAGTCGACTTACGGCCCATTAACTTTAATAGTGCTTTTAATTCTCTCATGAGAGTGAAGGGACCTTCACAAGCAGCGCTTTTGTTGATGTTTGTAATAACTGTAAATTGTCGAATGCTTTCACATGTTGAATGCGAATGGGAAGGAAAATTATCGCGTTCCATTTAATCGTGAAAATTACGGCATGGGCTGTAAGGAGATCAAGAGTTTATCCAAGGATTGATGCTGACAATAGCGATAGGTTGAAGTGTGTGATAAAAAGCTTTCCACAAAATATTTCTACCATGCAAGTCGTTTTAAGGTTTCTTCATATCGCTCGGATCTGTGGAAATTGTTTTCCTTTTTTCCCCTCAATTTTCTTTTTTGATATTCGCTCTCACATTTGCTTTTCATCATTTTAGACTCAGAGCGATGAGCATAGAAAAAGTTTTTCATTCTCAACAGAATTTTCCTTATAAAATGAGATGAAAATCTGTGGATTCTTTTAGTCGTTCGTGTTGAGTCGTAAAGTGAAGTAACTTGGGATAAACTAAAAACACGTGTTGTAAATCAATCGTTAGCTAGTGAAAAGTTTGAAGAAAAATCAAAATAAATAAAAATCTGAAGTGCTTTAAGAAGATTTCAAAACAATTAAATTCTGAGAATGAAAACAAATCTTTTGAATTAATTGTTTGAGTGACAATTTAAATTAAAATCATTAGCTGATGGATTTATATTATTCTTCTTAAATTGTATTGTTGTGATTATTTTGATTAACAAAAAGATAAAAGAAGGAAAATGAGATCGCGATAAAAATATTTAAAGACATTCCAGATGATACAAAGAACAACAAGAAGTTTCATTTAAATAAAGTGTAATTGAAATTAATTGCACAGTTTAGTAATTTCTCTAAACACTAATTTATATTTACTTTTTCGCTCCTTTGTTTGAATGAAATTAGCAAAAGCAATTGGATTGACTACACGCTGAAAGCACTCGAAACATGATCCGTCGATTAATGTAGCAAATGAAAAGCAAATTCTTGTTTCCATGGATTTTCTTTCAAACTTTGGTTTTATTCCACTTTGAAACAAAGAAACTTTTGTGTTGTTGTTCTGTAAGGCAAAATAAAATTAATTAACTTTTGCTCTGGTTATGCTTATAGGCCCATCAAGCATTTTATATGCTGCCACTAGCACATTAATTTTCCACTTCTGCTGTCTTGACTTTGATGTTGCTGCTGTTGCTGCTTCTCAAAATTAAATTATTATTCATTAAAGATTCTTATCAGAAGCACATCCTTTAGTTGCCTCTTACAATGGCTGATGTTCATATACGTCCATTTTCTAACAAATCTAATTAACTTAGAAGACAAACTGAATTTTAATTTCTTTTCTTATTTTTTCACCACATAAAATGAATCATTGGGAGTTTGGTTTTCTCATGACAATCAGGTTGGAAGTGTAACAAAAGTACAAGCTTCACCATTCTCCCATCATTAAACTTTTTATTCTTTTCTTTCACGGTTTTTAATTACAAATGAAAAGAGAAGAAAAATAGAAAATTACCCAAGAAATGCTAATTATGAGGGCGGCAGCATTTCGGATCAAGTCGTGATAATTTAACGCAATTCAACTTTCTTTCATTCTTCAGTTTCCACCAAGGGTCGCTATCTTTGAAGCTTTACAAAGTAAGATGAAGTGATGATCCTTATCCAAGAATCTTTCTCTCTGATGAGGACAGTTCCCATTTCCGACTACGCTTCGTTGTTCTAAGGGTGAACTACACTAAAGGAGGGTTCAGAAAGTTCACTTTTTCTGGCAGTTATGAATTACAGAATCCTGAATAATTAATATTTTCCAACCCATGAACTTCATGTGACAAATTCACCACAAAAGAAGGATGTATCATTATGGTAAAGCTCGAAAGCTTCTCTCGAGTTTCATTCAAATAAATTTGAGGACTAAAAGGAAGAGAAAATTATGCAAAATACTTTAATTATCATCTCGAGAGTACTTAGACTCAATTAATTATCCAAGTGGTTAGCTACACCTATCTTTGTATCTTTGAAATGTAAATAATGAGAAGGTAAACACGACAATTTCATTGAATGCTACAAACAACGATAATTCATTCATCGGATGTTCAACTTATCATGTAATTGAAAATGCTTTTCAATCTTTATTATTCTATGGAAAGAGTCTTTTCATTTATTTTTCATAATTTATGTTCCTTTTGCATTTCTGCTGTTTGTTGTTTCTTTGTTCATTGGAGCATAACATGACTTGACTTCAGTTAATGTTCCCATGAGAAAAATTCAACGACCCTTGATTGACGAGAAAGAAAAGGGAAAAAGAGGCAAAAGATGAAAAGAAAAAAAGGTTTTCGGCTCTTTAATAAATTCTTGTTTCGTAATAAGTTAAAACATTTTATCAAAAATTGTAGCAGAAAATTTTATTTCCACCAGAAAAATGTTTGCGATGAGAGATTTTCCTTCCTTACTGTCTAACAAGCAGAAAGAAAGTGTTTGCTTATGGTTCGAGTTTTGCAGCATTTTCCTTCATGAGTATGTAGCTTGAGTCTCTTCCGTTTACCTTACACAAATAAACTTCTCTCAAAATGGAACATCAAGGGTGTTAAAATCTTTGAAAGGAACTTAGAGTGGACATTGAAAGCTTTCATATTTAAACTTAGAAAGTTTATGAAACAAAAAGTAATCTTTTTCACTTAGATTGAATCAACATTTTTGTTTTAAACTTTTCCACATGGAAGGAATATAAATATTAAGGTAGAGATGACTTCTGGATTAAAATAGCTTTTGTTAAAGTTAAGAATATAAAATTATCAGGATACTTTATGACTTTTCTTTTTTGCTGAGATTTCCTTTCCCCTGTCACATAAACAAATATTTTTCATCATTGAATATAAAAAAAGAACTTCATTCCTTTGCATGGAGATAATCTTAAGCTTTTTTTGTTTAGAAAGTGAAGAAGTCGGTTTTGTTGTGCGTCATGGGTGAGTTGATGCAGATTCATATCATATGGAAATATCCTGATTTGTTTGTCTTTCTGACCATAAGCTTTTCTTCTTGCTTTCGGCAAATTTTCTTTCCTTTTCTTTTGTTCTTGTCTTTTCACTCAACTTTGAAATTAAATTTTGACATACTGCTTAAAATGAAATTTTCCACTAGAAACTTTTTCGTCGTAAAAGAATTTATAATATTTGACTTTCTGAATCTTGCCACGGTTATGCTTTTGTTTTCACATAAAGTAAAGAATTCTAACCAGAGATTTTTATTCAAGGTCGGAAATTTTTTATTACATCAAAGCACCGACTGTTTCATCTAATAAATGCTCATTGAAAAAAAGAAGGAAAATATGCTTTTTATTCCTTTGTCAGTAAACAACAAAGTGAATGGAATAAAAGCTCCTATGCGAGTAGGAAAGATGAGACGGAAAAATTTCTTTTCTAGTTTTCAGAAAACAGTAAAGGTCGCAATTTCCTGCCGTCTCCTACTTTGCATAATCATCACCGAACAGATTTTCGTGAGAATTTTTCTTAAATCACCCATTGATGGTAATTTTATTTCAGTCTTATCCGATCTGATGCTTCCAAAGTTTTCCCATCTTATGGCAATGATTTTCGTTCTAATAGATCGTTAGCAATTTAGGTCACGTTACGTTTTTATATTTTCTTTTTCAATTATATGTTTTTTTAGGTATTATTCAAAACAAGCTGAAGTTTCATGAATCAAAAATGACATAAACACAGTTTCATCCCGACATTTTGATTGATTGAATTAATTTTGATCATACATACATGAATGATCCCCGAAATCTTCCTTGTTTTCGTTCTGTTATAAATTTCTAACATGATTTTTCAATATAAAGAATGCTTTTCTTCATTCTCTCGAATGATGAAGGTAGATGGATGTACGTGGAATGAATGAAGTTGATTGGCTTTTGTGTGTGATTTGTTTTGCAATCGATCAGTCTCCGATTCAGATGCTTTCAATTTCTTTAACCTCTCCCCACGATATTTCTCACTTCTTTTGAACATTTTCTTTTCCTTTTTATCCTCATACATATCGTTTTTCTTGTGATTGACACTTTTTTGTTCTGCCTTTCATGCTGTGTTATTAATCTTTTCCTTGAATATTTTATGTTTTTTTTATAAGTCAATCGAAAGCAAGCTGACGTCGAACAGTTGAATTCGATGTTGATTACTGAAGTCTGTTCCAAACTGCCTAAGCAAATCGCATGTTAATGCTAATTTTAAATGACTCGTCATTTGCACACGGTTCGAATGCATTTGCATGCAGCAAATAAGTCAGACTAATTACTAAACATGTGCTAATGAAATGCATAAAATCATCTTTTTTTTTCATTCTGATATTTTTAGTTCTCGTTTAGACAGTCATTTGATTAATGTGACTGAAAAAAGAAAAAATTTTCTTGCAATCAACGCCAACACGAAAAACTATATTAAATTGAGTGCAGTAAAAATCATAGAGAAAATAAAATATTAAAAATAAAGTTAACAAAGATAGTGCTACATTTCATTTCCAACTTGCATGTTTGCAATTTCAAACCTATTCAATTTACCTTGTAGTTAAGGATTTTCTGAAAATGTTCATTGTTTGGATGGAAAAGAGAAAGCAAAGATTAAAAAGTGTAACAAAATAGAAGCAGAGTGTTTGTATCGATAAGTGTTCGAGGATAGACACAAGCCACAAAAAACGATATTGTTTGATGTGCTTTTCTTTTATTTATTGTAACATTATTGGTTTTTGCTTCACTAAACATTTATGAAAGCTTAACAGAAAAAGCAGAGCAACAAATCTTGATTTCAATGTGTAAATTAAACCGATAGTGTTGTTGAAGTGAAAAGCAAACATATCCAGACATTCACAAACTACACCTTAAGATATGTGGGCATAACTAAAGCTTTAATTAAAGCATTGAAATCATCTCAAACCTAAAAATTATGCTAACAGATTGTGGTGGAAATGTTCCGTGGACGAATTTAAATAAAGCAAAGTTAAACAATGGTTACATTCATTTGCCGTCATCAAATAATCCAGCAGCGACTGAAACAACATCAATAATGGATTATGAGTCATCATCAGATGCGGCTTTATTGGATCAGCAAGAGCAACCGCCACTCAATCGTGATACATCAATTCTACTGTTGGATGTGAACAATACACAACAGCTGCAACATTCCAACATCATCAGTAATCCGTCGAACTCGTCAAATATCGCCAGTCCTCAACATGTTGCCTCCCGTAATTCCATCTCTTCATCAGCGTCACCCACAAATAAATCACAAGCAGTGGTGGTTGTCACTTTGGGAAATCCAAATGCCATGCAAACCATAACAACATTGCAACGTAATAATGTGAAAAATAGCAGTACGAAAAGTAACCGTTCCAATAGCAATTTGCCAATTTCACATAATAACATTAAACAAAGTGATAACAAAAACATATTTAAAGCTCATAACAATAATAGGAAATATAAATTTAATTTATTGAATTTGTCATCTTCGGGTGGAACGAGAAACTCGAAAAGACAACGACTGCTTATATTTGCCATCTGTCTGATTATTGGAATTGCAATTGGCGCATTAATCGTACATTTGAGTGGAATTTATCACTGCAATCAAGATGGAAAAGGTACGTAGCTTTCATGATGTGAATATTTAATGTGAAAAATGAAAGATGAGTGGCAGCAGCAGCAAAAGTGCTTAACATTGAGTTTATTTCAAATAGACGTACAACTTACGAGCTTGTTTCGTTTCATTTTTTTCTTCCCTTTCTGGTTCTTTTTTTCTGCTCCCCGTTCTGTTCTATCGCATTACCTTCGATGAATGAGAGTCTCATTCAAAATTCATGTGAAAAGCATTTCATTAACTTTTATAGCAATCGATGATTACCAATCGAAGGTGGATGGAAGACAAACTTTTCCTTCTATTTGTATTGATAGTGACGTTACTTCGATGGAAAAAAATAAATGACCAAAGTAAAAGCGTTTTCTTCACTATCGATGTTTACTGAACAGAAAGGGAAGGAAGGAAAGAAAAATGAAAATACCGATAAAATTCACTTTTATTCTTCTCTGGTGAATGTAGCGTTAACAGGAAGTCGGCAACCTAAAGATTCTGTGAATTTATCATCTTTATAAAGTCTGAGTAAACGTTGCTCTTTTGAATATTTGATATTAAATTGTGAGGACATCCATTACATAAATGGCACCCCAAGGATCGTAAACACAACATTATTATATGCGGAAATATCTATCATAATCCTTGAATTGGATTTCTTATGTTTGCTTTCCTTCTTATATTTTACATCATCTGCTTCGGCTACGAAATTGCATTACCGCGTAATGTTTATCGATAAACTTGATTTTATCGTAAAAAAGGATTACATCGAGATACGTTTCTTATGACTCATAACTACGCTACGTTTTCGCATATGTCAAAGTATGTTAAAGTACCGCACCGCCCGCTGAGCTTTTCACTTGACTTTTTTTAAAATTACGTTTCTGATTACGTAAAAGTTTTGCAACGTTGTTGCTTTGCTTCAAGAAGCACAAAAGAAATTTGCATAAAAATAATTAAATTTTTTCAAAAACCTAGGAAAGTTTCTTGTAGAAAAAGATTCTATTCCACAAGTTATAAATTTATTCAAAAATCTTCTTGAATAATATTAATATTAAACTATCTATATATGATAAATATGTGTAATAAATAAACGTAGATAAATATGCACGTAACAAAAATGAACAAGAATGTTTCACCGTTTGTAATGTAAATAAAATGTTCTTACCCGAGGAAAAAATAATATTTTTCCTTCTCCTATGTGTGTAAAAGAGGAAGGAAAAGCAAGTGAAATCATTTTTGTTGTTTCAGGCATTCTTAAAGAGTAAGGGAAAAGTTTTGTGGTAACGATTTCTAGTACTCACTCACTTCTCAGAACATGAATTCATTCATTATTCAGGACTATTTTGCTAATGAAATATTTGAAAATTGCTTTTGTTATAATTTTTTCTTTATCTTTTGCTCATCTTCTTCCTTCAACAAGCACGTTAACATAACAAAAACTTAGGAGTGAGAAAAGGGAGCCAATCCTCTGGGATTTTTCCCTTTAGATTATCAATTAATCTTTTTCCTTCAACGCATTGGAATGCGAAAGGGAAAGCTAGCGGGGGGAATTTATTATTATTTTTTCATCATATCAGTTTCATGATTTCCCATGGATGATGTTTATCTTAAAGAAGAAAGAATATTTCCTTAGAAATCACCATGGAGGCGAAAATATTATTCAACAATATGTTTGTTGTGTTTTCTCCATTCAACACCACTCACACATGGTGTCATTGTTGGGTGAAGAATAAGAAAATTTAATTCTTCCAAAGTAGGGTGTGAGCAGCCAAAAAATACTTCAGACAAACTTCAATGGTTCGCTTTCTTATTGTTGCGTGTGGAGAGTTCTCAAACAATTAAAGCTAATGTTATGAAACGAAGCGAACTAATGAAAAGAAAGGCGATGTTGTTAACATCGTAGTTAAGACAAATAACAATTAGGTAGCTCGTAAGCTTATGAACATAATTTTTTGTGCTTTTGACGATACAACTTAAATAAGCTCTCTGAATCAAATTTCGCGAACCTTTTTCTAACTTTATTGTCTTGTAGCTTCCCTTTTCTTAAAGCTCATTAATTCAATTTGTATTGCAATACAATTGACCTGGGAATAGCACATTTCGAACATAAATTTAAAATGTCGAACACGTACGTCAACCTCAAACAAGAATTTATTAGCTTTCCCGTGCATTTCATAATAGATTTGATTCTATTCAATATTGTTTGCGGATTCTCCTGATGTAGGTAATTTTAAATTGAAATCGCGATATTGATATTTCAATGCGACACCATTTTGATTTTTGTCGCAACAATGAATCATAGATAACATATTCATTCAATAGCCTTTACTTTGTCCTTTTCAATCGATAAATAATTCTCACCTGAATTATTTAAAGCTATCAAACTATCGATTCTGAACTCCTTTTTAAGTTCATTTAAGTCAAAACGGAAAGTTTTTCGCTTAGGTATTTCACAGAAGATAAAACAGCGATTAAAGTCAAGTGGAAGTTTTTATTGTTCGAGTTGTGAAATGAAGCGAGAACAATTCTTATCTTCATTATTTGTTACAGTCACATTTCACTCGTCATTATGTGGCTCTCATAAAATTAGGGAGAAATTTCAATTAAGCTCAAGAACTCGTTTATTTCCATCTAAACTTTTCATGACAAACGGTAAAGGAAAGACAAGAACGAACATTCGAAATGAGAGTAAAATAAAATGCTCGACTTGTTTTGTTTGCTCATGCTGTTGCTGTTCATTTACTTTTATTTTAGCATCTAAAATCGTTATAAAAAGTTTTTAATTAAAAACAGAACGAATACTCTTCATATTGCTAAAACTAATTTCATATTATCACATATTAAAGTGTGCAAAGGGAAAAAGAAATCTAATGACACTTTCGGCGAATACTTATGAAGAAAAACTTCTTTTGCTGCACTTTTCTTAATAATTTTCTTTTTCATTTTTCTTTTATTTTCACAAAAATCCAATTTTCCTTGTCGTCTGGCTTGCAGTGAAAAAAAATACAAACATTTGTTTAACCGATGAATGCGTTCGTACTGGTAAGTAAAAATCTTTTCTTTTTTCATAAAAGTTGAAACATGTTGGCGAGAAAAGAAAAACGAAAACTTTCTTATCGATAAGAAATTTACCCATGAATTGGAGATTGAAAATTTTGTGCTCGGGTGATTGTCATAATATTGATTAAGTTTTGCGCAAAATTTGAAATCTCTGGTCTTTCGCCATAATTGAGTTTCGTGTCATGAAATGTCTGCAATTTCAAAAAGTTTCTTCACTCTCTTCTTTCTCTACTAACAACATCTATAGCCTCATCGCTTTTAGCTGGAATGGACGCTACGAAAGATCCATGTGAAGACTTTTTCCAATATGCATGTGGAACATGGAATAAAAAGCATGTCATTCCCGAAGACCGTTCAAGTATTAGCACATTCGAAGTAAGTTGAAGATTTATTGTCATAAAGAAGAAGGAGCAAGAAATATTATTAACTTGAGAATGAACTGCTACATGTTTTAATATATAAAATTTAATAAAAACCATTTCATTTTATCAATCTACATTGTAAGTTATAATGTAACATTAAATTAAAAAGAGAAGATGAAAATTTCTTCTTACAGTCTCAACTTGATAATATTTCATATTTTCCTCCATTACATATCTGACATTTATGAAGAATCTACACACAAGTATGAAACATCTCAATTTACATTCAGTGCAACAGCTTAGGTATAAAGAAAAGCAAGAAAAATATTTACGTTGGTAATGTCTTTATCTTAACATAATAAAGTTACTTTGAGGTTTTCATTTACGAGCAATTTGTGAATTATGTCACAAATAAATTGAAAATACAATGTAGCTTTATAGCGTCAAGTTCATTTATCATTTTTCATTCGAAAATGTATTTCTTTGTGAGCTTTTCTTAATCTTGATCCATGACAAAACATACAAACCGTCCTTCTTGAATGGATAATGTTCTCTCTTCATATGTAAACTGTCACATTTGAAAATGATTTATGGCGAATTAATTCACATTCTGAAACAGGGAATGCTGTGCTTTCAATATTATAAGTATAAAAAGAAATAAACGTTAATGATGTCAAGCTATTTAAACAACATTATTATCCCAAAATCTCTATTATGGTGCGTTTAGTCGAAAGATTATAATCTCTCTTTTTCACTCACTCAAAGATGTTTGAATATAATGTTTAAGCAAAGATAGGAAAAATAAGACAAATTATCCATGTTAAACTTTTCTTTTGTTTCTAGGTTTTAGCCGATCAGCAACAAGTTATATTGAAAGGCGTTCTAGAAGAACCAATTGATTACGACAATAATGATAATGAAGCTACAATTAAAGCAAAAACATTTTATAAAAGCTGCATGGATATTCGTAAGTCATAAAAGACAGAAAGTTTTTATCAACTTCAATGAAAGTTAATTTTCCCCCGTTGTTTGTTTGACTTCTTCTTTTTTTATTATGCAGAACAAATACGAAAAGTAGGAGATCAACCATTGAAGGATATTTTGAAATCACTTGGGGGTTGGCCAGTTATTGAACCCAACTGGAAGCCACCAAACGTAAGTATAGAGATGTTGATGGGAAAACTCCGGGGGGAATATAGTGAACCCGTGCTGTTAGAAATCTATGTCGGAGCCGACGATAAAAACTCTTCAATTAATATCTTGCAAGTAAGCATTTCACACAAAGAAAATCAAATGGAGTTTTCAATTTATTTATGTTATTAATAAATCAAGGTGGATCAGTTAGTCTTGGCATTGCCTTCAAGAGATTATTATCTTAAAGCCAGCAGTGAAGGTGACCTTAAAGCGTATCATCGTTACATGACACAAACTGCAGTGCTTTTGGGTGGTGTTAATAATGAGAGTGCATCAAAAGAATTGGAAGATGTCGTTAAATTTGAAATGAAATTAGCAAATGTAAGCAAAATGTAATTGCAACAAAATGATTCTGTTGTTTCTCTTTACACAAAACATGGAAATGCATAAAATGTGTTGTCACTTTAAAGTTGTTTACAAATGACATTTAATGCATTTCCAACTTCCAATCAATAAAATAAATCACTTAACTAAAATGACGTCATAAAATGTCGCAACATCAATTAACAGGCGTCTATGCCCGAAGTGGATCGACACGATACTTCTGCAATCTACAGAAAATTGACCCTTGCTGAGCTTCAGAGAGAAGTTCCTGAGCTTAATTGGCGGGAATATCTGCAAGTGACTTTGGGTGACGTTGAGTTGAAGGATGATGAAGCGATTGTAAGTTATGCGATGCCGTATCTTGTATCAATGGGAAGAATTCTCGCTGAGACTGACAAGCGTGTCGTTCACAATTACATCGTGTGGAGATTGGTAAAAGCGTCATATGAGAGTTTCTTTATCTATCTTCTTCTTACATTAAATTATTTCAAACAGGTGATGTCTATTATGACGCATATGATCGATGACTATCAGAGAGAACGAGTAGAATTTCGAAAGATTCTTCTTGGAATTCAATCAGAAAGAAATCGATGGTAAGATGATAATTTAATAAGAAAAACTCTCGAAAACTCAATTGACTTCATCAGGTCACAATGTGTTGAATGGACGAACAAGAAGCTTGGAATGGCAGTTGGTGCTCTCTTTATTCGTGACAATTTTAATCATGAAAGTAAGGAAATAGCCTTGGAAATGATTCATACAATTCGAGCAGCATTCAATGAGCTCTTGGCTGATATTCATTGGATGGATGATGAAACACGAGCTGTAGCGAAAGAAAAGGCGGATGCAATGAACGAGCGAATCGGATATCCGGAGATTTTAACAAATCGTACTGAATTACAGAAGGAATACGTTAATGTAAAAAATATCAAATTTTTTATCGCTTTAAATTAAATATTCATGATAGATAATGTTTCTTCTTAACGAAAATCAGCTTACCATCGAGGAGAATAATTTTATGAAAAACATCTTTTACATCCTCAAATGGGATGCACAAAGGAATTTGAATCTTCTGAGAAAACCAGTCGACAAAGGTATGGAGATAATGTCGGATATTGTTAAAAGCTTATTGATGAAACAACGAGGGATTACTGAAATTTGATATAAAAATTGTTTTTCTTTCTTTCATCAACAATTTATTTTAAGAACATTAAATCATTAAATTATTTTAAAGTTTTATTCATTTTAACATTCCATCAACTTTTTGTTGAAAAATAATGATGCAAATTTCAATTATAAATATTCAGAAATTTTCCCTTTCGTCATCCTTTTGTTCTCTTTAATAATCCCAGATAAATGGTCAACAGAGCCAGCAGTTGTTAATGCATTCTACAATCCAAACAAGAATGACATCGGTAAAGCATAATTGGAATGACTCCAAGCTGTAGATTTATATTTTATTTCATTTTATTATTTCCTTGTTTGCAGTTTTCCCTGCTGGGATCTTACAACCACTGTTTTATAGTCAGAATTTTCCGAAGAGCTTAAACTATGGTGGTATTGGAGTGGTTATCGGTCATGGTAATGCAAACATTTCTCTCATTTTACGATATGCGATTATTTTAAAATCCCATGGCTTTTCATCACCCTTTTCCGCAGAAATTACTCATGGATTCGATGATAAAGGCAGACAATTCGATAAAGAAGGAAACATGATGCAATGGTGGAACAATGCAACCATCCGAAACTTTCGTGAGCGTGCTCAATGCATAATTGATCAGTATTCAAGATATCGTATCGATGAAGTAGGACTTTACATGAACGGAAGAATGACGCAAGGTAATGTAAATTGGTGATGCTTTTATTCTATTTATCACTGCAACCCTTTTTCCTTTACTGTCTTCATCGATTTAAACTTTAACGTTTATTCCTTTGTGCACATGTAGGAGAGAATATTGCTGATAATGGTGGTTTGAAGCAAAGCTTTCGAGCTTATAAGAAATGGGTTGCGATTCATGGTGAAGAAGCAGCATTACCTGGTCTCAATCTTACTCATGATCAATTATTTTTTCTCAACTATGCTCAAATCTGGTGCGGTTCAATGAGACCAGAAGATGCACTCACAAAAATTAGAAGTTCTGTTCATTCGCCAGGAATTATTCGCGTTATCGGTCCACTCTCTAACTCGAAGGATTTTGCAAAAGCTTATAATTGTCCAGTCGGTTCTCGTATGAATCCAACGAGTAAATGCAGTGTGTGGTAGACAATTAAAAAAGTTTCAAATGAAAGCTGAAACTTTTTGCATGGTTTCATCATGAAGCGAAGTCAGAGAACTTTTCAAAGAGCTTAATTTTCTGTTTGAAGGGATTTAAGCTTTCATAATGATTGTAAGTTGTAAAATATGTAACTTCACGTGTAGTGTAATTTATAAAAAATCCTTTCTAACATATAAATCCAATTATTTTTGATGAAATGTAGCTAAAGTAATTTTTTTTGTTTTCTAAATGTACAAAATAATTGAAGGAAAATAAAAATTTATGATGGAAATATTGAGTAAATATAATACATAAACATTAATGTAAATATTCTGTTCTTCATCCAGCATATCGCCAAAGCACACCCATCATGATAAACGTTCGATTAGAATTTCTACTTAGGTCATTGACCAACAAAATTGGATGAAAAAAAATTTAAGATGTACTTACTTAGTCATAAAATGAAAACCCACAAGAAAGAAAGAAATGAAAACGTTTTATTTATTTACTTATAAAAAATTATTATAAATGTTTGTGTTTTCAAATCTATTCAACGTTATGGAAAATATATGAATTTATACAAAAATTAAAAAGCTTATTTGAATTTTATGTTTTTATTTACAATGTTGCTCGCTTTAACAAGGTGAACCTGGAGGTCTAATCCAATAACACGAGACTTTCTGATGTTCGTTATAAATAATGATTTCGTAATTAAAATCATATTTCAGTAACAATGTAAGAGAAGTTTGTTAAAAGGTAAAGAGAATACTTTGCAACCAATGTTCATTATCATATTTGAACGAATATTGCTTGTTGTATTTAAACACATTACTACCTAAGGCATACTTACATCAAATACATAAATATCTCGTCATATAGACATCCATACGCTTTTCCTTTTATGATAAAGAATACTTAATTAAATAACTTCATATCCTGAAGTAATGTTCGTGAAATTGCAAGGAATATTCAACTGATACTGACGTTGAAATATGAAACGAAAATCTTTTATCATAGGATGAACTCTTTAAAAATGTCACATAAATCTTTTCTTCAGCCAATTTCCCTTTTTTTCTTTTTCTTCCAACACTGAAAATCTTTTTAAAACTCTTCAGTGCTTTGAATTTATGAAGACAATTTCTCGCTTCAATCTCTTAAGGGAAATTCAATTGTGCGTAACGTAACTTGCAAATCTTCTCACATTTCTTTTCTGTTACTGAATTTACAGCTTAGTCGTTAAAGAATGTATTTTATTGTCACAATCTTTTCAACATTAATTTTTAATGTACTTCGCATTCTAATGTTGGAATTTCCATAAAAATTTCATGACGGCTCAGCCGCTTTTCTCTTATTTTTTTCCCGACATTCCAACTTTACGCGATTTGAAATCACGACACTTTATTTATCTCACTTTTTAAGTTGAAATCGAAAATGTTATCAGATTCCATTTTTCAGCTATTGATATTTATCTAGATTCGAACAAAAAATCTACATTTGAATTGCCTTACGATGATAATCTAGGAAATGAAAAAATTAAAAAATTTAATTCCTTACACCATTTATCATTTGTAATCACCCTTTTTATTTTTGGGAGGAAGAACGTCGGATCACGTTAAAACGACATTCTCTGCATCATAAAAGGAAATTCTTCTCATGGAGGAATGGGGGAAACATTGTTGGAGGGGAGTAATTCCTTCGTTCCCTGGTTTGTGGTGATTGTGATTATTGTAAATTATTATCAGTTTCATTGCAGATGGGGAATTCTTCTCTCTGGTTTTCTCTTTCGCAACGTGCTTAGTAAAATATATCCTGAATAGGAAAATGAAAGCATGTTCTTCCATCTTCCAATGGAGACGAGAAAAAATAAACTTTATGTGAATGTTCATTTTCCTAACGGGTAAATGTCCTAAACCATCTCGTAATTAATTAATTTCAGCTTATCTCAACCCACTCATATAAAATTATACCCAGTCCTACGCAACGCAATCTTTCAAGCATCGCTCATGCACATAAATTAATTTCCAATCAAGGCATCCACACACATACACACACCTACGTTTCATTCAACTGAATTTTGTACGCGACATAAATTTATGAATGAATCGAGGGATGAATGAAAAGAGGTAATTAAGAATTACGATGAAGAAGCTAGTCAATTGTTTTATCGTCACGATGAGCAATTCAATTCTTCTTTTTTTCTTTTATCTCTTCTTTTTTTTGCCTTTTTCTTGTCATCTGAGCCCAGGCATGATTCAACGAAAATTTCTCATTGCTTCATTAAAGTTGAACAACTGGAAATGGAAAATCATTTGAGGAAAATGGATTCTCGTATTTCACGGTTCGTGACTTAAGAAAGATTTTAAACATAAACTGACCAATTTTATGCGTTGAAAGATGAACAAGGGACGGAGGAAACCTTTTTTTTTCAGACACTCACTCGCAAATTTTATGCTGGGATGTTCTTAAAAGCAAACAAGGTCGTAAAATTTTAATAGAATATTTTTCTTCGCCGACATTTATGTTCAGATAAGGTTTTTTAATATATTTAGAAAACTCATAAAGTATCGTGCATGATGCATGCAATGTTCTTCCTTCTTACAAGCGAAGCTCTACTTACACATTTTCCACATCTTCATTTCTCGAAAGCCAATTCGCAAGATAGCGGAAATCTTAAAAGAAAATTTCTTCCTCTCCTGTTAATTTTAGTTTGGCTTCTTCTTTTTAAAGCTTCACATAATTTAAAGGCATTTATTTTCCACTTTCTTAAGTAATATAAGAAAAGAAGCTTCAAGCTTTTTTCTCTCATAATAACTCAAGGATTTCATATCGAAATTGAAATGCAAACATTTTCATTTCTAAAGCTATTCAATGCTGTTGTCTTTATTCGAATATAAAATGCGGGTGTTTGTATCGTTGTCGTGGTCGTCCCGTGTTGAAAGTAAGCCAATAGTTTACAATCGTACATTTCTCAGAACCCAACAAAACAAATCCCAGAGATAAATGAAATTGAAAGAAGAAGTAAATTTTCTTTTTAACAGAATTTTTTCCATTACGTTTGTTTCATGATGCAAAGCTTGGATATCAAATCGGATCTAAAGTGACACCTTTTCTCGAAAAAAGAAACATGAAAAAGATGAAACTAAATCGTTGTTATATTAAAAAGCCTTGCCTTGTTCGTATCATAATCCCATCCATGGAGATTTCATATTTGTCATGAGAAAAATGTTGCCTTTTGTCGTCATGAAAACAACGAGTCTGAATGGAATTAATTTTTCCGGGCAAAATTCATTCCGTTGAGAGAATGGAAAATTATTTCTGTGAAAGAAAAAAACAAGCCACAATGTTAAATGTCAACGTTAGTTTATTTAGCCAGTGTTCTTTGTAATTAAATCAAATCCGCTTCCATTTCTCTTGTGAGCAATTTGAAAGCATATTTCTTACACTGTTCATGTTCCACAGAGACATGAAATGCTTTTGAAGCTTGAGTCTCTTTGTGAACGGTTGTAAAAAGTTTCAAGTCACAACATATGTGAGGCACGCGTCGCTTATGCTTGACAAATATTTAATTACAATTTTCCGTTATCTCTACAAGACCTTAATTGCCCGCGAAGACTCTTAAGATTGCTTTAAACGCTGTTCAGAGAGAACATGCTTCTGGGACGTAAAGAAGATTGAATGAAAAAAGTTTTCTGGTCGTCTACCTTATACTAAACTTTACCCTTCCTTTCTTTTAAGCACTTGTAAACGTGCATAAAGCCTTCCATTGCTTACATTATTCACTTCTGCCTTTCTTCAACGCACATAAAAGAGTAACGTTGTTCATCTTTTATTCCGCTCCATCAATTCCTTGTATAATATATTTCTTGATGTATACTCTTCTCCAAACAATCTACACTTTAATGCTTCACAACGTGACACATGATCATTGATTTTCATTACCGGAAGGGGCGAAAACAAAAAGTAAAGCGTCGAAAGAGGAAGTGTTAAATTTTGTATTCGTTTCATAAATTTTTTACGTTTTTAATATCAAGCGCTCTTTGAATTCGAGGAGTGAAAAATTTACAGCGCCTTCAATAATGCATTCCGTCAGGTGATGTTGTTCACTTTATTTTAATGCTTCGTCGACAATGATGTTTGATTTTTAGTGTCGTATATAAACGAAGATTTCCTTTTATATTATTAAATAACTAAATCACAACGGCTTTTCAAAGTCAACGACCTGAAATCTGAAATATTGCATAATAACAAAAAATATTTTGAAGAAGAAAGAAAAGTTTGTGACAGAAGGGATGAATTGTGTAATAAATTGTTTTTATTTCTTTTCAAAGGCTTTAATACAGAAAATGGGGAGAATCAAAACGATATTGCTTGAATATTGGCAACGTGTTGTTGTGATGATAACAAACTTTCATGTTACTTTTCAATAAACCATTAGGCGACAATGGAAACATTTATTAATTAAAGGATAAAGAGAGGGATAAAAATACCAAATCTGTGATGGTTAAAAGTAATATGAACCATCTTTCAAATATCCCCATTAAATATAACACCAAAAGGCGTTGTTTGATCAAAGAAAAGAAGAAGAAAGCAAACTGCGAGTCTCATAAATTCAGGATGTTGCCGCAAAAATATATTAAATATTCGTTGCGGCTTTAAAAAATGACAAAGTCAAACAACAAGTTTGAAATTCATTGAATTATTCACAACTTTTTAATTGCTTCATGAATGGGTTTCGATGGTTGGCAAAGAAAAGTTTTAGTAATTGCTTTATACTGTTTATTTTCGTTTTTTAAATTAATTTGCATTTGAAATCATTATCAACGTTTGAATGATTTTATCATTCACAATCGTTGACTTTCCGAAAGGAAACATTATGAACAAAGAAACAAATAAGGATTTATTTATAAAGAAAGCTTTTTCGTTTCCCTTGACAAGAGAATTCCTTTTTGAAGCAAGAGAGTGAAAGAAAAATATTGAGAGGAACGAAGACACATGTTTGAAGATTTTCAGTCTCTTATTTTATGTTCCGTCTCTCATCTTTTCACAAAAACTTGAATTGCTCGATGAAAACCTTTTGGCTGGCCACTTTCCTTAAGGGATTTCTTATCAGCAATAAACCAGCTTTCAGAGAATCCTATTTCATCACTTAACAAGTAAGCTTCAAATGCATTTGGTTTAAGCTTTATGTTCTTAAAATTCTCGAGGATTTCTGGAGAAAGTTTACTTCTTTTCTTGTAGGAATTGAATTCTTGTGCTTCTAATATTAAAGCACCGTTTGTTTTCAGTTGCTTATAGATTCGTTTGAACATGAATTTTATTCCATTATCGCCGTGGTTGAGATGAATCCATTTAGTAATGGATAGACATAGAATTGTGTCGTACAGTGGATTTTCAAATTCCAATAAACTTTCATCTTTGAGTATGTAGTTTGCCTGTTGGGAAATATGTTAATTATCTTAACTATTCTGAATATTTAATGAATTCTTACCTTTCGAAAGCTTACACGATTTAAAACTTCTTTGGTAATCTCAAGTTTACTTGTTTTCCTTTCAATTTCTAAATCCCTTCTTGCTTGATCTATTAAATTTCCATCCAAATCTACTCCTAGTATTTCAGTCGGTGAAAGTTTCTTTGCAATTTGTATTGTGATGTATCCCGAATTACAACCAATATCGAGAATTTTCTTGTGTCTAAAGAATTCAGGATGACTTTCAAATAGAGTAATTCTAGAATCTTTTTCAATAGATTCTGATTTGAATCGTTTAAAATAGTAATTCGAGTAGTTTCCATATTTAAACTCGACAAATTTTCTTTTGTTTTTGTTATTCTCTGTAAAATTTCAATGAATCACTTTATTAATTTTTATATTTCGATGGATTTACGAATATTTTTCACTTACCTGAACATTTCCCACGTGTTTCAATTTGTGTTGATTTCATTTTTTATGTAAAGTACTTAATTCATTTAATTAAAAACAAAGATATAAACGAAAGAAATTTTCCACGAATTTTGTTATTCTTTCGCGCTTAAACGTTTGGAATCAGGCCGAAAGTTGAAGTTGCTAGCCCCATGTTTCTTCAAAACCTTGTCACCCCCATTCGATGCCGAAAAAAAAGTGAATCAAAACAAAAACAATGAAAATTATTTTTTCTTACATTCTTTTAATATTACTCATAAGTTGTGTATCCTCAACTCTAAATCCTTCAAAAAATAAAAAAGGAAAGACAAAATCATCGAAGCAGGAAGCGAATTTCAAAGTTAATAAAGGCCCACAAGAACAGTCAGTGTATGAAAGAAATTTGGTTAATAATGAACCATTAGCTTCCGATATAATCTCAGAAGCTCACACTTATTACAAAGATACAAGTTTGAAGAATTTCAATGGAACTGTGCTTGGCTATGTAACACCAGTGAGTACATTTTTTGAAAATAATGAAAAAAATATATTACGGAATAATTTTTAGTGGAATTCGCACGGTTACGATGTTGCAAAGATTTTTGGCCCAAAGTTGAACATCATATCTCCTGTATGGCTTCAAATTATGCGTATAAGTGATCAAAAATATGAAATCACTGGCACTCATGATATCGATAAAGGATGGATGAAAGAAGTTCGTGAGAAAGGAAAAATAACAAAGTTTTTTCCTCGCATTCTTTTTGAACATTTTACTGATAAGGATTATTCTAAATTGTTGACTTACCATGAAGAAATCAATGCGGCTGTTCAAGCAATAATAACAACATGCAAGAAATATAATTTCGATGGTGTCGTTTTAGAACTTTGGAGTCAACTAGCTCAACGTGTTGATGATCATCACTTAATCAATCTAGTCAAATCAATTGGATCACAATTGAAAACAGTGAACATTGGTTGCATTCTTGTCATTCCACCATCACAACGTGGACCCGATATTTTCAATGAAGATCATTTTGATCAACTTTGGGAAGATGTGACTGCGTTTTCCTTAATGACCTACGATTTTTCTTCATACCAAAGACCTGGAGCAAATGCTCCATTATATTGGATGAAACGGGTAGTTGAACACATTACACACAGTACTGAGAAACTACAAGAGAAGAGAGCGAAGATTCTTTTGGGCCTGAACTTCTACGGCTATGATTTCACTCCAGAAGGTGGTGAAGCTGTTGTAGCTGAAACATATCTTTCACTTTTAAAACACGTTAAAGGACGTCTCAAGTTCGATGAAAAGGATCATGAAAACTATTTTGAAGTGAAAACATCAACTGGAAAACATTTAGTATTCTATCCAACATTATACTCCATCCAACAAAGAATTGATTTAGCTCGTGAATTAGGAGTCAATATTGCAATATGGGAAATTGGCCAGGGGCTTGACTATTTCTATGATTTATTATGAATTTATTGACATTGGAAGAAGAAAGCATTCTTACTTAAAATTTCTTAATAAAGCCATTCATTTTAATTTTGATTAATTTAACGTGTTTTTACAATTTGAAAAGTTAGACCGACATTTTGACACAACTTTTGTTTTTTCAAAAAGTTAACTTTCTTGGATTGTTGACAAAAATGAAGCACATAAATTTAACACAATTGTAAATTTTAACGTAAAGACTGTGCAATATAATGTGGTCATTAAACTTTTATTCTGTGGTGCTACTGATTGTTATTACTGTGTGTTTATCGCAAGATATGAATAGATTCTCAACGAAAAATCCGTACAGTTTTACTCATCAAACATTCATATCTTATCCAAATTTTGAGCCGAAGAAAATCTGGAGCATTTTAAGGCATGGAACAAGATTGCCAAGTAAAAAGGTCATATCAAAATACCAAAGTCTCGTTCATATCAGAGATGAATTGCTGGAAAATTCAACTTTGCTGTCTGATCAACAGAGACATGCTTTTAAAAACTGGAAACCAATGGATATACAACTGGAACATCAAAAGTTTATAACTAAAGAAGGAGAACAAGAACATCTTCTACTTGGAACAAGATTTCGTAAAAGATTTCCGACATTCTTTAAAAGTATGCCATCATTGACATTCAAGCATACGCCAACGCAACGAACGCAAAAATCAGCAGAAAAATTCATCCAAGGTTTGTTCCCAGCAAATGGTTCAAATATCAAACCCATTGTTGTTGATCGTGACGATCCTGTACTCAGACCTTACAAAGGTTGTTCTTTATGGAGAAAAACTGTGAAAAAAAATAAAGACGTTTCATTAAAGGAAAAACGAAACTTCCAATCAAGTGAACTCGTTGATAATGTCGTGAACGAATTTAGAAGCTTTACACAAATCGATCATTTAACAATTGACGATATTGAACTTATCTATACAATGTGTGGATTTGAAAGCTCCTGGAATTACAAATTGTTCAATGGGAGATCTGTTTGGTGCTCATTATTTACAAACGAAAATCACTTTAAAATTATGGAGTTTCTTGAAGATCTCGAATATTATTGGATTGATGGATATGGATATGAAATAACCAAAAACGTAGCATGCAAAACTGTTAATGATATTTTCATTAACCTTGAGTAAGTTTAATTTTGAGAAGAGAAATAATTATAAAAATAAATTTTTCTCCTACCTAGTCCATCAATCGATGAGAAGAAAGCAACATTTTACTTCACACATTCTGGAACAATTTTAAAGCTTTTAACTTCTCTCGGTCTTTACAAAGACGATTATGATTTAACAGCCGAAAACTTTCATGACGATCGTCAATGGAAAACATCAATAATCGACTCATTTTCTAGCAATATTGTTGTGATACTTTACGAGTAAGCTCAAATGATTTAAAATATTAATAATTATTAATTGTTGTCTTTAGATCAAAACAGGGCCCATACGTTCAACTACTTCATCAAGAACAAATAGTAAACCTACCAAAGTGCCATATGAATCAATACGGAATGTGTCCGTATGAAGTGTTCGAAGAACTTTACAATAACAAAGCTAAACACTGCAATCTCTCAGAGTTATGTCACGTAAAAGACGAACTTTAATAAAACTTATAAATTATTTCACAATGACAATAAAATATAAAATTACTCCATATTTTCATCACCATCTCCTGTTTCCATGTCGTCATCATCAGTGTTGTTTAATGTTGAGTCATTTTGTGCTTCGTAGGCAAGTTTCAAAGGAGAAATGACAACGCCATCCCAAACAGACATTTCAGTGATTAAATTTTCTTTTTTGTCGATACCAAGAATGACTTTGAAGCCTCCATGAAGCAAAACACGTAACAATGTTTGTGAAGCCATACACAAGTTGTCTTGTTGCTCTAAAGTTAATGATGTGTGGACTCGAACGGGAATGTTTTCACAGGGATCAAGCAACCCTGAAGACCCAGGCAGAAACAAACCAGCAGCAAGGAGTTGAAAAACACGTCTAAATGCTTGATTTAATGAAAGAGCTTGGCGATTTGCATTTGATAAGATTGCAAAGTGAGCTAATAAGTCGATGATCCAAGGATTCATTGGTGCAAATTCAGGAAATCTTGTTGTCAAATCTCTTAAGATGCGAATCAAAACTTTGACAGATGAATTTGCGTTCTCTTCAAACCAACGAATATGACGAATTGCTGATAAACTGTTGACGAGACTCTTTTGTAATTCTGGATTTTCAACTTTTCGGATGTTTGGTGGAACTGTTGCAATGAGAATGCAAATTCGAGCTTGCCAATTGAAAATGTCAAATCCTTTGTCCGTAATTTGGATATTGATCATTTCTGCTTTTGAGATCACTTCTGTCTTCATACTTTCTTTTAAATTTTCTTCAACTTTCTTGCTGAGTGCTTCAATTGACTCCTTTGTTGGAATCGATTTGAAGATTACGACAAAATCTGCGATATTCTTGCCAGTTCTCATTGTCCCTTTCTTGAATGATCCAACTTGACGGATCTCTTCTAATTGACACTTATCAAAATCTCCCGGAGCTACAACTAAGTTATCGAGGACGGAAGAAACTTTCGTGACGAGATTATTTAATGCTTGTTGTTCCTTGTCTGTTGGAGTTAATTCTTGATTTCTTTTAGTCAATGCTTGTAATAAATTAGAATCATCAGGAACTGGACTCGTGGCTACTCGAGGAAAATAGACTGAGTTTTCAACAACACTTAAATCAAAAGGATGCCGAGGAACTAGAAAAAAGGGAGTAAGCATGTATCCATTATTTCATCGATTTTTTTTTTCGGCTCAAAAATACTCACTGAAACTTGCTTTTTTACTGAAAGTTCCACGCATTCCAACTCGTACACCTCCACGACCTCCTCGCATATTTCCTCGAACCATTTTTAAAAATTTTCTTAACACAAATCGAAACACAGGACAAATACACAAAATTTTCAATAAAACTTTATTTTCACAGAAAACAAGCAGCAAGACATTCAGGCGCATTCACCTATTTTGCTAAATTGAATTGTAGGCCTAAATTGTTTGAAATTTAAAATTCCGTTAAAAAGTCACGAAAAGTTTTTCAGCTCACTTTACCTAACTTTTTGTTTAAGTGGTCTAAAATCTTAAACTTTGAAACTACTTAGGTACATGCGTTAATTGAATAACTTTCAACCTATATGCAGCATAATGTAAATACCTATCTGATCAAAAAAAAATTGGTGGGAGTGGGTGTGTTTTCTATTATTTTAAGTTTATAAGTTTATGTTTATAAATTTTATATTTTTTTTATAATTTCTAATTTTCTATTTTTTTTAAGTTTTTTATGATTTTATATTTACTTTTCTTCATTCTTCCTACTCCACTTCCTCCATTTCAAAGTCATCAAAGAACTTTGAAAATTCATCAAAAGAATCCTCAGACATCAAGTCATCATCTTCAAGAAGTTTTTCTTCTTCCTTGAATTCCATTTCAATTCCTTCCTTTTTCTTGAAATATTCAAAGATTTTCCATCCGACATATCCAGTAACCGCTACTGCTACAATTCCAATTACAATATTCTTCTTCATTTTCCTAAAAAGAAAAACAAGAAACAACAAATTATTAAATATTTTTACTCACAAAATCCTTCAAATCTTCTTCCAATTCCTTTTCTTTCTTCTTCAGTTTCGTCTTCTGCTTCAATTTCTGTTTTAAATTAAACAAAAACACAATTTGTTGCTTTTATTTTTATTTTCACGATTTTTTCACCTTTTCACTTCAATCTTCAATCACAGACTGATTAATTAATAAAATTTTCTTTGAAAGTTTACTGCGATTGGAAAACTTTGTTTGCTTAAAGGAAAAAATAATTTTTATTTTCAGAGATATCCATGATTGTCATTTTTAACTGCTTGTTTTTCTTATCTGTAAAAATTAAACTGCGAACAGCCACATGATGTATGTGTTTTACATGTATAAAAATAAAGCATTTCCATCAGGAGAAGTCGATTTTACTTCAAATGTCTTAATAATATCTAAATAAGCACTCGTCATTTAATGATTAATTGATGTGTTAAGAAGTGAATAATCTTGATTTGATGACTTTATATTTACCTAACATTAAAAAATAAAACATTTTGTAAATTGAAAATGGTTGTCATTAGCTGACACAAATTCAATCGCATATAACCGACAGTCGTAAATCAAAGGATGATAGTAAAATAATGGAACATAATATTTTCAATATACAGCGATCTCTTGAATGGGTTTTCGTTGAAGACAAAGAAGCTTACAAAATCAGATCATTTTATGAATGAAAGAGCTTACGAGATTTTATTTAATTATTCTTTATAGCATACAAAGTATCAGTGAATCTCTCATTATTTATTAACCAGCAATCTTTATACCATGAAGTTGTTTTCTTCTCTCACTTTGTTTAAATATTTTTGTGAAATGTTTATAAATTTAGTAAATTATGAAACAGCCATGATCTTTGCAACCACGAGCTAATGCTAGAATTAGTATTGCGTGAAAAATCAATCAGTGTTTCAACACCAGAAAACTATGAACAAACGAAGGAAAATAAAAAGAAATTCAATTTCGTTGTCACAAATTCACAAATTTAAATATGTAGTGAAAGCGGTGAAAACTACATTCAACAATAACTCAACAGGTGATCCAACAGATTTGTTGACTATCTACCCACTTTGTAGTGAAATTTGTAAATATTTCGACACGTTAATGGTTCCACATGACAAAAGTGTAATGAAATTTGTTCATTTATTCTTGTAAATATAATAAAACTTTCTTTTGATTTCGCAATAAAAGTTATTTAATTATCTTGCAGTTGAATTCTTTTAAAGATACAAATTATATACTGAACCTCTCTCTTCATTATATGTTGTCCAATGTTAATTTTTCATATATTTAAGAAAGATAAATTGCGTTAGAAGCTTCACTTATTTTGACTGATACATGACATTTCTTCTGTTGATTTTTGGCACAAAAGTGACTTTCTCTATCTATAGGTAGTATTTACCAAATACTATCTATTCATGAATCATATTTTGTTTAGACACAATCGAGAAAGTTCAACACGTGGCGCTAAACGCTTTTAATAATTTTATGAAGAATGAATTGCAATCATTAAAAAGTCTACATTGTAGAGACATATTGAAGTTACCAAACGATCAATAAATGCTGCTGAATTTGTATAAAACTTCCACTACAATATCGCTGACGTATGCAAATTTGAGCATCTGTTGATGAAATTTTTATTTGTATATTCTGATCAAGGATGTATAATTCGTAGTTGTCGTTTTTTATAGTCTCTTTTCTGTATTTTATAGATACACACGCTTTCTTTTAATATATATTTCCGTTTTTGTGTGATGGATACATGAATATAAAAAGAAAAATCGATTTTCTTATTACATCTGAACTTTGCCGGTGAATTAAGAATTAATCTTTATTTGCAAAAATATTAATCCCTTAAAGATAAGTTCGGGCTAAGTTCTTCAATATGAATGCTTCATTTCTTTCTTTCATTCATAATTAAAAAATTTTCAGCTCTACCCGATTATCAAAACATCTGACGAAAATCCCAAAAAAAAAAAAGAATTGGAGAATTGTTTTTCCATCTAAAAATAGCTCAACTGTGGAATATAAATAGGAGATGAAAGAAATTTCGATGCTTCAGAAAAGAATTGATTTTTGTTTTCATTGGAGGGTGTTGAAGCAAATTCCGAAATTTTTCTAACTTTAAGCAAAAATGGGCAGACTTGTTGTTGATAAGGTTTGTTCAGATGAGAACGTTCACGATGGAATGGTTACAAGTGTTTCTTATCACAATGGATATCTTTACAGTGCAGCTAATGATGGAAAAATTAAAGTCAGTGAAATAAAAATGAAGAATCGCAAATTTTTCTAATTATAAAATGCAATTATTTACTTAAAGATCTTCGATTCAGATTTAAATTTCATTCGTGATGTATCGGTTCATGAAGCATTCGTTTATGCAATTGTGGTCGACCAAAATGGAAAGTTATACACTTCGAGGTGATAAAACAAAAACACAAACTTTCCTTTCTCAAGAGCTTCAAATAATCTAAGAATTTCGGTTTATTTTTAGCTCGGATGGAACTATTAAATGTGTGAAAGAGCCTCTAGTATCTGACGATCATTCGGTTATATTGGAACATGAAAATCAAGGCGAATCACTTTATGTTGATGAGAATGATGTGCTATATGTTGGTAATATCTTTTGATCTTTAAAGTTTTCATCGTTTCATTTTCTACTTCATAAATTTAGGGGATAACACTGGTAATGTCTCAGCATATGAGAATGGACATTTAAAATATACGATCACTGTTCCTGATGCTGTCAAATGTGTGTTTGTTGAGAAAGAAATTCTTTACATTTTCACACCAACTGAACTTTCGATCTACGAAGTGACCGATGTTGGAAAGAATGTCAAAAAGTTTAACATCCCTGCAAAACCTCCAATAACATTGTTTGGTGAGAAGGTCAACGGAAGATATAAATATGCTGCTTTGTTAGCTCCAAGTGGACAAGAAATTATTGTCCTCAAGAATTCTGTAGAAGACAATTTCGAAACATTAACGATTAATGACGAGTTTCACGAGTTGACAATCACTGCAATTGAAGGTGCTGATGAATATTTGTTTTCTGCTGATTACACAGGAAAAGTTGTTTTATCACAAGTTGAAGGAAATGAGCTGAAGGAATTTGTCAATGGAAGCACAGGTTCTGGATGTTGTAACTGCCTTGCACCTATGGACGATAAAAATGTTTTCGTTGGATGTACTGGTGGAGAGATTATGAAAGTTGCCTTTAACAGTGGAGATAAACGTGAATTCAAATGGATCAGATATTAATTACAATTATAGTCATTTAAAACATCTTCAATACATAAAACTATCCACATTATTTCTATAATTAATAAATATTTACATAAATCAATTTCGTATTGAAATGTTCTGTTTCTTGTTTTGTGCTTTTCGATTTGAAGATGCTTTGTTTTAACTCTACTACACTACAGTAACACTTTTAGTTTCTATTTATTTATGTACTCTAAATTGTGGTCTGTAAAATGTTTGCGTTGTGAAATAAACAAATATAAAAATCGATCACTTCTTTACTCATCTCTTGACTCTTGTTCATGTTATGTTCTCACTAATGTTTTCATTAGAAATTAGCGCAAAAATATCTAGAATGTCGGTAATTAACGTTTGATGAGAACAGTTGAAAAAAGCTTTCCAGCTGTTAGTTTTGAATATTTCTCAACGACATTTACAAAAATTTATCTGAATCATGACCACGGACAACTTTGAAAAGCTTAAATTAGTTTTTTTTTCTCTAGTTAATCATTAATTTTTTAATTTCGATTTATCAAATGTCATCTTTTTGTAAAGCGCCAGTGTGATCAAATTGGTTTTGAAGAAAATATGAAAATTGGAGAAAAATCATGAAATTTCTGATTGGTTTTTAAAATCTATTTATAAAACTCTTCGTATTTATAAATAGAAGACTGTGAGAGAAGTTTTAATGCAATAGAAAAATTTTGAGTTTAGTCGCTCATAACAAAGTTTCTCAACTAGATCATTATATTCGAAACAAAAATAAATTGAATATTTAAAGACAAATGTCAATTATTAAAACCACTGATGAACAAACTCAGCATCAAGGAGATGTGACAAGTATAACTTTTCATGATGGTCGTCTTTATAGCGCCGGAGGTGATGGAAAAATTAAAGTAAATCAATGAATGAAACTTTTAGAAACTTGTGGGATTAAAAATTTAATTTTATTTCTTTTCAAGATTTGGGATGTGAACTTGAACTTCATACGTGATGTAATAATACATGAAGCTTACATTTATGCGATAGCTGTGGACAAAGTTGGAAAATTATATTCTTCGAGGTAAGGTATTGTTCATCATTTGATTCAAAATTCAAGAAATTTATTTAAAGTTGTGATGGATCAATCAAATGTGTCAAGAAACCTCTTGAATCTGATGATCATGATGTAATTCTTCAACATGAAAATGAAATTGAGGCTGTTTTTGTCGATGATAAGCTTTGGTTTTATTGTGGTATGTTAACATATTTTCCAATGAAAATTGTTTATTAATTATTCTCTCTTTGTTATTTAGGTGATGATAAAGGCGGAGTGACAGCGTTTGAAGATGGAAAACTTAAATTTACATTAAACATCGTTGAATGTGTTAAAAGCCTTTATGTTGAGAATAATCTTTATTACACTCTATTGAACCATGATTTATCTATACATGAAGTGAGAGGTGAAAATGGAAAATTTGTAATGAAAGGAAGCATTCCTGGAAAATTCCCAGTAACTTTATTTGGTGAGAAAACTGCCGGAAGATCAAAGTATTTTGCAATTCTTACAAGAGATGGAAAAGGTATCACGATTGCGAAGAATGGCGTTGATGAAAAATTTGAGAAATTAGCAGTAAAAGAAAATCTACATGAAATGATTGTCAATGCAATGGTGGGATTTGGCGAATTTCTATTTTCAGCTGATTATGCTGGAAAAGTTGTGAGAAGTAAGGTCGAAGGAAATCAACTGACTACATTAGAAAGCTTCAATACTGGATCAGGATGTGCAAATTGTCTTGCAATTATTGATGATAAAACTATTTTCGTTGGAAGTACTGATGGATCCATTAAGAAAATTCATTATAATTAATGTTCTCAGCTTACAATACATTGTGAATTAGTTATTAATAAAATCAATTAGGGTTAATGTTGAAATGGAGTTTGTGCATTTACATTTTATTTTCACTTTCATAAATTGTAAAGAAGATTCAATAAAGCATTTTAAAAGATTTTATAATAAATATGAAAATTGCGGTTAAGAAATTATTAAACATTACATGAAATTCAAAAATTTTACAATTAAAACTGAACGCACTCTTCTTCGGTCGAGAATAAACGCCAAATTCGAAAGAATACTTTACAACAACAAGAAAACACAAACAATCACGCGAGAGCTGACAAAAGTTTTTTTTAATTCGTTCACTTTAGTTTATTTTGAGAGGTTATCAGTGTAACAAGCGTAAATATCAGTATTTTTCTTATATCACCGTAACATGCTTGACGAGATAAAGTAATTTATATAAGCTTATTCGGCCGTTGACCTTGGCAGAAAAAAACTCAAGAAGTTCGGAAATTATGAAAAAGAATTGGCAAAAAAAAATCAATTGCTGTTTAAACATTACAAAACTTGCTATTTTTGGATTCTTCGTGACTCACTCGGCACTTTACAGTATTGTTTAAAATGTGGAAAAACTGCATATATCTCTCAATATTATTTTTTTGCATTCAGTTTTCGAGTCTAGTAAAAGGCGCAGAAAAACATAAAACGCAAATTTTTTTTCTGCTCTTTAAGCAACAAAGACGTTCCTTGAAAACTAATTTTTCTTTTGTGTTTCTTCTCAAATTAGAGAAAATTTGTGGCAAGTCAAAAGTTTGTTGACAGATGTGACAATCAGACGCAAAAGAAGAGTCTCAAAGTCAACTTTTCATTCACATTTTAATGGAAAAGTCGAGGGAAATTTTATAAAAAGAATTTTGAGCCTTGTTAAGCGCATGTGCCGTGATTTTTCTACACTTTTCTCTTTCGTCCGTTTCTTTTTTATGGATATATATTTTGTCAGATGTCTCGGAATAGAGACGAACATAAAAACAAAAAAATTTCACAAGTGAAGTTGCGGTGATAATTAGTTAATTGTTTTAGGATAAAAATTTAAATTACTCAAGTGTGAACTACATTTTTCTTTCATTTATTTCTGAACCATATAGGAAAACACACAAAGGGAAAATAAATTTTAAGAAAAGAAGAAAATTTTGAAAAGTTGTTCACACACGATCGGACTTTAAGAAAAATAAGAAGAAAGAAAAAAGTGAAAACATATTTAAAGAAAATAATCAGAATAAATGAGAAAAGAAGCAAAATGCAGTGCGAAGAGATGAAAAACTTGTTCCTCAATCGACCAACTGGCATCAAAATTGGCTCAGCCGTTTTCGTGACAGGCTTAATATCATAGTGAGTAATACAATTTTTTTTCGTTTTTCTGATAAATTGCGTTTCAAATCATCCGTATCGTATCGTTCATTCGCATATTTCTTTATTATTATTTTTGTCTCTAACAACAGTTGAGAAATTCTGTTTTTATTTTTTTACTTTTTACAACCACACACGGAGTGTCATGTGTTGTTTTTTTATAACATTTTGTTAAACAACAAATCGCGCTACGGATATGATTCACTCACGATCGTTGTTCTAATGAAATTTCAATTATTTTTCTGCGCACATTTTTGTAGTCTCAAGTTTCGACCGTTTGCGATTTTGGTGTCGTCTGTCTATGTGACGTGGATCTTCCGAACCTTCTACTCACATTATACAATTCACATACCTAAGGAACTCATACAGAGATGCACAAAAATGTATGATGAATGCAAGAACCTTCGAAAGAATCGTCCGAATGTGTTTTGCGGTTTCATCACGTCGATTTTATTTCTACTTGCCGTCATTGGGCATTTTGTTGACGGGACTTACATTTTATTCAGTAAATATTAATTGAAAGTGTTTACAAACAATCATGAGAATTATCAAAATATTTTATTCGCAGTTTGTCTCATTGCTGGGGTTCTCGTCACCTCCAAATATGAAATCAAAATCATCAAAGATAACAACGGTAAGTTTCCACTTCACGATCTACTGTTTAAATCAATTTTTATGATCAGAATGTCTAATGTGTTGATTTTTAAATGAAGTGACGTCATGAATGAGGTGATATTTACCGGTGACTGGTATTTCCTAAAGAAAAAGAACAGCAAATATTCTTCAAGGTCACCCACTTCAGTGCTTGTTTTTTCCTTTTGCTACGCTTGCAACTCCATATGCGTCTCACTTCATTTTTCAATACAATTATTAATTCTCAACAACTTTTACTTTTTAATCGGAGTAATATTGACATTCATCATTATTATTCTCGTCTTATATTTATTTAGATTCAACGCCCAACAGCAGTGTTAGTGGCATTGATATTGACGAGTTTTGTCCCAGTTTGGATGAAGCCAACATGAGAATTTTAAAACAAATTGGTGATCATGCTGACGACACAGGAATTTATTCTCCAAATATGTCAAGAATTGATAATGAAAGTGACAGTGATAACGAATTATTACCACCGAAAAACGTGGTGATACCGGAACCTGACGAGATTGATGCAATGGAAGATGACGAGACTGCAGATCTCCTTATCGATCCTAAAAAGGTGCTAACACAAAGTGCTGAATATAAAAAAAAGCACTTTTCGAATACTTCATCTGATAGTGACAGTGATGATAGCATTACACGAGGATTGGACTTTAAGAATATTCCCGTGACTGCAACAATAGAACCTCAATCATCACCATCAAGTCTCCTTTCAAACATTCAGCAAACGTTGACACGAAATCTGATAGATAATTTAACGAAACCTTCACCAAAGTCTAGTCAAAGCAAACCTTACGATTCCGAAGATGAAATCAGTGATTTCGAGATCTTGGATAAGGATGATTTATTAAAATAACGTCCGTGATAAACGACGTCTGCTTGTACTTATGTGAGTTTCTGAGAAATGTTTCTTCTTCTTTTTATTTGATTTCAATTGCAAGCTTTTGATGGACTTCAACTTTTTATATTTCATTTAATTTTTAATATCTGAACGAACCTCTTTTTCGTCTGTTTTGTTTCGAAATTCGATGTCGAGACAGAATTAAAAATAACATTAACGAAAGATAATTTCGCACGATGAAACAAAAGAACGCGGACTCAGAGGTCAATCACCACATTAGTTGACGAGAAATTTGCAGAGCTCATTCACTGATCTACTTTTTTTCTTACCTTCTTCTTTTTAAAATACAAACCAACATTTTTATCATGGTTTTCTTTCTTTCCTTCTTTATTTTTTTGTGAATGAAGCGCGCGAAATTAATGTCCTTGAACCCGAAAATTTTCCTCGCTTTTCATTTGTCCAAGTTTTTTCATAATTAGAGAAAAGTTACATATTACAATGGACAAGAGATAAATAAATGTAAATCAGATTTAAAAGATGTTTGATGGCGACATAAAAATGCTGTTGGTAGAATTGTAAGTTTTCATGTCGTCACTTTGAATAATATGCTTGCTGATCTTAGTGTATGAGCTACCTGAGTGCAAAAATAAAAAGAGAAAATAAATGCTGAGCATAATTTACGAAAGGAATAATAAAAACCGTCGCCATGTGTAAAATTATAAAGAAGAGATTATGTTACCTGAAGAAAATAAACACAATTTAAATAAACATATTTAAGAGTCTTTGGCAAACTGTTTTTCTTTGTCAGGTAAGGTCAAGGATAGATTGAAAGGAAGAAATAAATTTTGTTTTTCTTTTTTCCATTTCCGACAAAACAAAAATTTACCGCAGAAATTCTTCGAATAACAAAATACTTAAATTCTGAGTTCCTCCCAACGAAACAAACCACAATAATAACTGATTATTCTCGACAGTTGTATAAAGTTACAATTTCCACAATATTTATTAATAGTTAGTTACATGTTGCTGATAAGTAACTTCCAATCAACATCCAAAACAAACCACATTTAAAGTAATTTTTATTTCCTAAAACAAAAATCAATTTCTGTCAACCAGCAACAAAGCTAATTGAGAGAAAAAATATGATAATTAAATGGATATTTTTGATGATTAAGCATACGTGCAAAAAGACAAGAAAATTATTTAAAAACAAGAAGAAAATTTGTGAATTTACATTTTGCGAATAAAGTCATGGCTTTTAAAAGATAAAAAAAAGCCAAAAAAAAACTTCTTCGCTTGACTGTTTTTATTTTTAATATTTCAGCTGTCGTCGTTTACAGGTCGTGATCTTTAGCATGTTTAACGGACAATGAACAGTAATTTATAAGCAAAAGAAAGTTTGATTCATCATCAATAAAGAATCGACTTTTTATTCTCGGAATAGAAGTTTAACCAACTTTGTTGATGCCTAATTCATGAACAATAAACAATCACACAAAATTCAGAAACTCAAGCGACGTTTGCCTTTGTTTTAAAACGAATTAAAAAATGTTTTCTAAAACAGAAGTAAATAAAATGTTTCGGAGGCAAAAACTTTGATGTGATGATAGAGAAGATGTAGGCATGCACGAGTAGCTGACTGAACGACGACGATGAGAAGAAATAGGCTCATCCGCTGATGACGTTTGTAATTGCGTACTTGGCACACATCGTAGATGTTTACAAAACACCAAAAGATTGACGATTCATTCATTCATAATATAAAAAGCATGTGATGATATGACATGATTCGTTTTTCAATCTTTTTTTATGATTTCCTTAATTTTGCGACTTTTGTTTATTAGATGAACTCGGAACATTCAACATTTTCCACAGTTTACAACTGCGCTACTCAATGTTTATCGATAAAAATGTGACTCAGATTGAAAGCATTTTCCTATGTAGATCGCGATGGAATGTTTTATTAATAAATTCTTCCAGAAATTCATCTTTTCTCTTCTTAAAAGTTTTTAATTATTCACGCTGAAAAGAATTAATTTTATTTTTAACATGAAACGAAAAAATGAATAAGCTCGTCTCACATTAATCTTCTGAAATAAGCTTACATGAAAATAACGCGTTTCAGTAGCGACAATAACCGATGATGAGTGAATAATTGTAATGACCATGGAATGCCATTGACCCAAATCATCAAACTCTTCTGATTAGCCAATCTAAACTGATTATATTTATTGTTATCTATCAAAATAAGCTTTTTCGTTTACATTTAATAGGCTTTTTATTAATGCAAAAATATAAATAATAAAAATACACTCACGTTAAAAATATGAAGAGGAATTATTTGATTTTAATATTTCATTTTTCTTGTGTTACATTTCTTTCCTCTTTGAACAAGTTTACAGCTCGCAGAAATTTCTTTTGTTGTGGATTGATTTAGAATGAAATCGTGATTGGATATAATCAATAAGCAGACACATTAAGCGATGAGCAATTGTCGTCAAATCCACATTTGAGTTAAGCTTCTAAAGCAACGCGACGTTCAGGTTCAATTTCCTTCTTCTTCTTCTTTTTCTCTTCACCTATCGGCTCTCCAACAGGAACATCCGGTAACTTGTCATCGAAATCTTCATCGATTGCTGGCAATGTTGAAGCAACCAACTCTTCGAGTTCAGCTGCGACACTGTCCTCATCTTCTTGTGATAAAGCACCAGTGGAAATAATTGCATCAATTTCTTGTTGTTTCTCGATTCCTTCTCTGGTCTCATCCATAATTCGTTCAACTTCATCGATCGTAAGTATCTCGTGAATCTTCTTCAACGCTTCATTACCAACTTGCAAGCCATCCACGACTTGCTGTTGAACTTGAGCAAATTCAAGATCAGTTGTGAGCTTTTCAAGTGCTTCCAACTCTTTATCAGTTGTTGCTAGCAAATTTTCTTGATACTTCTTCTTTCGCAATATTAATTTCGCTCGTCTAAAATTTATGAAATTCCAGAAGTAAATTTATTTACTACTTGTAATAAAAATTTTATACTCACTCGCGTTGTCCTTTGTTCAAACATTGCCTTGCAAGTTCACGATCGTTTTCGAGAGATTGTTCAATTCGTTTTTGGTACTGCTTTATTTTGTCTCTTTGTTGTTTTAATTGCTATGAATTAAAATCAATGAAAAAATAAAAAAAATTATGATAAGAATCAAAAGAAATTGGTGGAGAAAAATTACCAGAACTGCTTTATCCTGTTCTGTAACGCGACTAGCAGATTTTTTTGACTTTCCGAACACTCCACCCATGTCTGCTATAAAACTCAGACGAATTCAATTAGTTAATTATCGACGCTCCCTTCAATTGACTTATTAATAAATTCTTCAAATCCGATTCTAATTTTCATCAAGATTCTGATTCACGCATAATGTTTACGTATTATTTGAATCATCAAATGCCGTTAAATATTTATAAAATGACTTTACACATTGCACAAGTTTGGCACATGCGAAAATGTGAAATGTTTTGATGAAAAGACAAAGTTTTCTGTAAATATTCATAGTCATGCCAATTTTCTTGTTTTTCCTGTGAAATAAACGTTTCTCAAATATTATCCAACTACGCATTTTATTTTTAAAAAATTCATTTTATTTCAAATTGATTTGCATCAATTTTTGTTTCATAGAATTAAGGATTATTGAATAATTGTAATAATGTTTTAAATAGAAATAAAGTTAACTTGATGTTTTATTAGAATTAAGTATTTTTAATTGATTCATTTAATTTTTCATTTTTGTCCAAAATATTTTCTACTTTCTCAAGATTTTCGACTGAACTTTTCTCTTTATTTGTTTGAGTTTTTACATCATCCTTTAGTTGAATCTTTTTCCGAGCTGGTAAGGCTTCCATTAAAACTTGTTGCCATGTTTTTCCTTCTGATATTCCAAGAATGATGTCAAAGCATTGATTAATTGTTAAAACAGTTCGTGACTTTATAACCAAATGTTCACTTAAAGGAAGTCTTGCTGTTCTGATGTTATGCTTTAATGCAATTTCATTGCACAGATTTTTATGATGATTATGATCAACGAGACCTCCAATTACATAAACAGCACCAGGTTCAAGAGAATCGAGTACATTATCTGACTCACTTGTGAGATAAATTAATTTACTCTTATCAAAAAAGTCTAAATATGATTCTTCATGCCAAATTATATTCCAGTTTTGCCAGCCTTCATGATGATCCATCGCTTTGTACATTTCACTACCTTTTCTCAAACTAGTAAAGTGTAATGGAAATGGTCGAATTGCTCTCCTGTTACTTGAGTAAACTCTAAGTAATTGGGAAACACAACTATTTAAATCTTTTCCACTCATAAATCCATCGAAACTTAAATCAATAGCCACAGAAACGTCGGAAGGAATTTGATTGTCTTTCATTCGCTTCAGTTCTTTTCTAGATATTCCAGTTCTTTCTGTAACAATTCCTTCTTCTTCTGCCAGTTTTCTTTTAACTTTCTTCTGCAGTTTTTCTCGTTTTCGTCTGATTAGTTTATTAACACCAAGTTTTTTTGCTTTCTCCATTCTTTTCATTTGCTTTTTCGATAAGGGTTTACTTGGTGTTGCTACATCCTTGGTGGAATCATCGGATGATTGTTTTGTTTCTAAAATTAAAATTATTAAATATTTAAGCAAAGCATTGTTAATTTAATAAACAACCTTTTTGGAAAATTTCTTTTGTAGTACATTCTTGATGTATTTCGTTATTAATATCGGTCTCCATATTCAAAGATTAATAAAACTTTAATATTTTAAAATGACCGAGTAAAAAAGGTAAACAAAAACTCGCATGCTTAACTTACGTTAACTTTACATATTAACGTAAACGTTAATATTTGACGTTATGTAAAACTTTAGACGTACTGAAAATTCAAAAAATTTGAGAAAGTTTAAATTAACGTATTTTTTATCACGCCAAAAGGAAGTTTATTTTTATTCGTTAACTTATCGTCAATAATAATAAAGTATGTATGTAAGTACATATAAATAGAAGAAATATAGCAGAGAAAGAATTAATTGAACATTTCACTTGAATCCATTTTAACTGCTTGATTCAACTTCTTTCGTGCTTCCTCAAAACGAAGTTTATCACTGGCATATTCCATATCACTTTTCGATTTAATAGGATCATCAACGATACCTGATTGTTCATTTTCATATGCTTTTTCCATATCACTTTCCATTTTAATAGGACCACTAACGATACCTGATTGTTCATTTTTACTACTTTCTGGAGTTTGTACATTATTTGTAGGTGCAAGCAGTCGACGATATGATAAAACATCCATTATACTTTTTTGCCAAGTTTTTCCTTGTGAAACTCCAAGTATGATGTCAAAGCATTGATCAATCGGTAATACGGGACTGTTTTTCATGACTACATTTTCACTTAAAGGAAGTCTTGCTGTTCTAATACCGTTTTCTAATGCAATTCTATTACAAAGATTTTTATGGCGATTAAAATCAACGAGACCTCCAATCACATAAACAGCACCAGGTTCAAGAGTGTCGAGTACATTTTCTGATTCACTTGTGAGATAAATTAATTTAGTCTTGTCAAAAAAATCTAAGTAAGATTCTTCATGCCATATACCCCAATTTTGTCTACCATTGTGACGATTCATTGCTGCAAACATTTCACTTCCTTTTTTCAATCCAGTAAAATGCAAGGGAAATGGTCGCATTGCTTTTTTGTTGCTTGTGTGTAAGCTTTGAGTATTTGCAGTGCGCATAATTTAATATGTTTGTTCTTCATATACGAATCAAAGCTGAGATCAATGACAACTGTAACACCTGAAGGAATGACTTTTTCAGTTTTCATTGCGACTGATCCATGTCCTGAAAAATTTCCGGAACCTCCAGACAAGGCAGCTTTCAGAGTGGATGCCTCCATTCACTTTTTCGAGATTATTATTTGAAAAATTCCCTCCATCTAATGATAAATTAATACTTTGTAAAAAGAACTTTTTCAATATTCGTCTTTTGGCTTGATTAGAGTTGTGTTGTTTTCTGCCTTTCTTGTTTTTCTTTTGAACTTTCTGATTGTTCTGATATGAGCCTGAATTTATTTTTTCCATCTAAAATCAAATGTCACTTAAAATTTTTAACTATTTAATGAAATTATATGAATTCACAAACCTTTTACAATTTCGTTGGCAGAGGAACATTAATAATTTAAGGTTTTTTAAGGAAAGGAGGAATTTTTAAGAAAATGTTGTTTACAAAACGTAGAGCTGATATCTGACGTTGAATTCAAAATTCTTTTCAATTTTTCGTAACGTGAACGTCGTGAAGGTTCAAAATTTGAAAAGTCGTTAAAACTTTTAAATTCTTAATTTTAAAAATAGAAAATACATTTTATTTTCTTTTATTCGCTTATGGACGTTAATAACATGTCAATTATTATAAAAAATACTTTAATGCTTCATTGAGACTCACTCAGCATAGAGGTTCTAATTATAACAACTACTCCTAAACTTTTGTCAAGTAAAAATTGTAAAAAGTGGACCTTAAAAGTAATAAATATTTTAGAGCTGCCAAATATTTGTCAAAAAGTGACAAGGAATGATTCAATGTGAGATTTTTGCGTATCTTATTCTAATGGCAAAGAAAAACAAATAAATAAGAAAGAAGATACTTTCAATTATAAAATAAGAATAGCTTGAGGAATCTTGAGACGATTTTGAAGCACCAACATTTCTTATAGGATTGCGCAAGGCATATCGCAGCACATCAGCCCAAGATACAGACAATCTACAATCTTCTCTTCATTCTTCTTCTCTTTTTCAAGATCTTTATACTTTTTCTTTGCCGAACGACGACGTCTTTCAGATACATTTGCTGATTTCATGCGTTGCATTGACACCTAAAATATTCATTGAAAATTATTTCATTTTCTTAAATATTTTTATAATCTATTTACTGAATCAATATCATCTTCGAGCACTTCATTTTTCTTCACTTCATCTTCGAAATCTAAATGTTCAATCGAATCTAAATCTGTGTTGTTTGACCCAGTTTTCTTTCGATAACGCATAGTTGCAGCATTGTGATAAGAAGGATCATCGACCTCGATGTCGATGTTATCAGTATTACATGCTTCACCGTTTTTAAGAATTTCTTTATCGATGATTTTCTCCTTGTCATCAGAATTCTCATCCAGATTCGAATTGTCATCTGCTTTGAGAGCAGCACCAGTTCCTGCAGCTCCAGCAGCAATACAAATAGGATTCACAATATGTGTTGCTTGTGAAGCAACAGAAAGTGCTGCTGATGTGCTACTTGATGCAATATCATCGTTCACGTCGCTAAAATAATGAGAAAATATATAATTTCTTAGTAAAATTTTTAATATTAAAATTTACACAATCTTTGTTATAATCGATAATGGAAGCATCACTTGTGAGTGTTTCATGAACATTTCAACTACACAAACTCAAATGAAATGGATCTTGAAAGTTTGAAGCATAAGTTATTAGGGAATGAGTCGCACTTTATTGTTTTCAAATGTTCGTATTCATAGGCGCCAATGGATAATTGTTGAATGCACTACACTTACATGTTAATAAGTTTCCGTTGTTCTGTCCCTCCAAGTGACCAGACTTGATTTTTCTTGGGTTGTAAATAATTTTTATTCACTTCCTATAAATATTGAACACGTCAAAACATTTCACATAATTTACATGACTTTGATAATTTACTTTGTTAGTGGACGAATAAATTCCTTTTCTGTCATGGCGCTTCTTTCCAGGTATCCATAGGATTTTCATTCCCATTCCTTTACCATTTCGCGACGAAGCCATTTAAATGTCTGTTACGATGTGGTCGAAAGCAACGAAAAAAATGAAATAATAAAAAGAACTTTTGTGTGAAAGGAATGTTGCTGTGGGAAATCTGTCTTGTAGATAATCCAGTGTTATTGTTGTTGTAATCCAAAATTTTGGTGAAATTTGTCAAAGTTATGACAATTTAGGTCCGTTTCGATGGACTTTTGATGTCGGCACAATAAACTAAATGTTTATAATTCACATTAAACCGATTTGAAAGGGAATTGACGACCCAAAAATGGATTTTAAACAATAAAACATAAAGAGACGGAACACAAAAACACGAAACAGAGACTCACAACTAAAATTGCGCAATTCTCTCATTCATTGCTAAGATAAACTTCTCCACATCGAAATGTTTCAGTTGTTTGTTATTCGTTGATGTGACGGTCGAGGAAAATTTAATCACGACTTTTTCTGACTTTAAATAAAGAAAAATTGCAATTGACATATTATCAGTGATATTTAACATTTCATGATCGCATAGAAAAGTGCAGAAATATAAACACAATCAGGAAAATGTGCTGGAAAATAAGAATATTGTGATCTCAATCTAAATTTTTCACTTTTTTTATAATCAATACATACATAAAGAAAAGTTTAACGAAAACAAGGTAAGTTTTATAATTGCAATAAATTTATCGTGGTTTTTTGTTTGATAAGATTAAAAAAGGCATCATTATGTAAAGGAAGAATTTGGTAACTTACTTCTGATTTTAAAGTAGCTGAAAACTGTGTTAAAACTTTCTTAAAAATTACAAAGATCTGAACTCAAGAACTAGAAATAAGTGAAACAGTTAATGAATAATGAGAAACATAATGAAGGTAGTTTTTGGGCTGAATTTCATTGTTTCGGTTAGAAGATTTTGAAGTGAAGAAAGAAAGAAAAAGGCAAACATTAAACAAACGGTACAACAATCTCCAATTAGCATTGCAATTAGAACTATGCACACAAACACACCTGAACTAACAAACAAACGATATTTCACGAGTATTTATTAGAAAGAGAAATATTTAGATATCTAGTTGGGTGAAACAACAATGCGGAATTAATGTAGCATCGAATGATGGATTAAATAATGATGATTATGGTCATATGTACGAATATGATTCATAAAAAGTGACGATGTAAGAAATCATCACTTACAGCTATTTATAGAATTATTTTGACTGTTGATATTTGCATAATATCAAATATTTTGCTTTAGGCAGCCAAGTTGAGGTGTTTTTGTGATGTCATCATTACAAAGATTATTGATTCAGCTCATCAAAAAAAGATACTTAAGCGAATTCTTCAAGGCCAGTTAAACCCACCTTGACCAATTCCACTCTAATTACTCAGCAGTTTACTTTTCTACCTTATGTGATTACACATAGCAATGTATTCGAAATTTGTGACGAAATTATTTAAATAATTATTCATGTGATGAATTAAATAACACCAAAGCAAAAATGTGTATTGGTGCGTGTAAAAATTACGCGATTTATATAAAATTGATTCGAGACAATGGAAGTGAACTTCTTAGACCATTGCGTCATGCTTTAACAGCTTTGTCATGTTTTTGTCTCCTCCTCCACACTTTTTCAATAAAATATTGGATGCAGTGCTTTCAACTTTGCTTTCATTTAACATTGAAATCAACCAAATTTAGACATTTGTTTTTCCATTAATATTTATTTTATACTCCATCATAGCTTTTAGATTCTGTCAATTGTAATGTTGTTAACAGTTGTAAATCGATCAATTGATCAATTCCACTTGTGTTTTATTTTGATTCATAACAGTTGTAAGCAATCATGATACATGAGTGATTAGTTTGAGTAAGTTAAATGAAGTTTTTTGTCTTGAATGAATTCTTTTTCGATTTAATAAGAGCTTTGATTTTTAATAATGTCACGAACCTCGTCAGCAGTATTGTTAATTGATACCAACTTCTTATTGAATGATTTTGTTAAGTGAGCTTTAACGACAACTTCAGCTAAGTTAAAAAGCTGTTCGACCTTTAAAAAATCTTAATTAGTCTTCACTACCATTTAAAGGATGTTATTAAACGTACCGAGTAATCATCTTGAATTAAATGAGTATTAACAAAACGGCAATTTGGTGCGTGTTTCTCATGCTCCTCCCAAGGATCGTCATTACTTTCCCATCCATCTAATACTTTTCCACATACAAAACATGTTGCTGAATCGTCATCTTCCCCATGACCTGTGTAAAAGAATCCTGCCTCAGCCATCTTAAATAATATAAATATAAATTTAAGCTTAAATGAATTTCACATTTAAATAGTTTCTGCTTTGTTTATGCACCTTTTGAACAGAACATTTATCGCTTTCGCTGTATTGCCAGTTTTTAAAGCTTGCTATTCGATCTTCTTCCATAAATTTCATCTTTTTCATGAGATGATTATACAAGCTAAGTCTCTCCTTAGAATTACTTTTGGAAATGTCCATTGTTACCATTTCTTTTAGATTTTCTTTTTACAATATTTTTGTTTTGGAGGGTGAAAATTTTGAACCTAAAATTCAACGGAAAATTAAGGGGTTAACAACTTTTTTCAAAATTTAAAAATCCGGTATTTTTATTCATTATTACTCATATCTATTCCTTCCCTCTAAACAGAACATTCAATAATTTATGTAATTCTTTTATGTTCCAGAAAATGGAGGATTATAAATTCTTGTTCAAAGTGGTATTAATTGGAAATTCTGGTGTTGGCAAAACATGTCTGGTTCGAAGATTCACTCAAGGAGTTTTTCCCAAAGGACAAGGTGCAACAATAGGTAAAGGAATTCAAAATAAAATAGAAGATTCAATCAAATCTATGTAAAATTAAAACTACCTATTTAATTATAGGAGTTGATTTTATGATTAAAACATTGGAGATTGAAAACAGTGCTGGTCAAAGAGAGGCTGTAAAGTTACAAATTTGGGATACAGCAGGTCAAGAAAGATTCAGGTGACATTTGATCTTTATTTCTTATTTGATTAAAATAATTAGGTAATATGTCTTTATTATTATTTAGATCAATCACACAATCCTATTATCGTAGTGCTCATGCTTTAATTCTTGTCTACGATATTTCCTGTCAACCAACGTTTGATGCACTCTCCGATTGGATTCGAGAAATACAAGAATATGCAAATCCAAAAGTATTAAAAATTCTTGTTGGAAATAAAACAGATCGTGATGATCGTGAAATTCCCATGAGAGTGGGTGAAGAATTTGCAAAACAACATGAAATGTATTTTCTTGAAACATCATCAAAACAGGGAGAAAACGGTAAGTCAAAGCTTCGTTTATTGCCAATAACAATTTAAATTACTAATTTAACACATTTTCAGTTGAACGTTTATTCTATGAAATTGCAGCAGAGCTTATTGAGCAGGCACGTCAAAAAGGTGGATTATCAAGAAACCATCACGATTCTAGTGTTACAAATTTAGGAATTAAGAATAATTTAGGGAATTTCCAATCGAATTGCTGCAGCGGATCTGGAAGTAATAATAACTGAAAGCATTTTTTTCAATAGCAATTCAACCATTACTAATCTGTGTAACTTTAATTTGTCATCCATCGATCATTATTCGGGGAACAATTTATTGAGTATAAATACAATTTTTGGTAAATTTATAAAGAGAATCGAAGCAGAGACGTTGCCTAACAACTCATTCCAGTGGTTTTAATTTATTATTGATAATCAAGAAGTGTTCACGATCAACACTTTTATATTTTTTTAATGCAACTTTCAAAGCTTCCTTTCATTGTCTTTTTTTTTGTTTTGTTTTTAGTTAAATTTTTTTTTGTTATAATAAAGAAAGAGAAAAGTTTAATTAACTTCTCTTCTGTCACAAAAAGAAAATCGTCAACGCGATAAAATCAAACATTTGAGTCAAGGAAATGATAAACTTCAATTTAAAATGCCAAATATATGAAATGTGACGTAAATTGTGAAAATTTCTTTAATATATTTTATTTTATTTTGAACATTATTTGCATTGAAGACATACTGAGACTGTATGTTTAATAATTTTTAATAAAATAATTAATAAGAATTCTTATTTGAATATTTTTTTTATTTTCTTGATTTCTTCTTTCGATCCATTGAATTATTGCTTGAACTGCTGCTGCTGCTACTGGATCGCTTTTTTCGATGCTTTCGTTCTTTTTTCGAAGATTTCTTTTTATGATCTCGATGGGATTTCTTTTTTCTCTCATCACGCGATTTATCAGAATTATTTGAGCGGCTTCTTGACCTACGTTTTCTAGAATGTCGTGATGGAGAAGGTAAGCGATTTCGTTTAGGTGAAAATCTTCTTCTTTGGCGATCTCTTGATCGTGATCTTGATCGCCTTTTATTGACGGGTGAGAAATCTCTTCTCTGATCGCGATCTCTACGTCTGTTTGTCATATTTCGATCGTCATATCGATTTCTATCTTGTCTTGAGTCTTGTCTTCTTGAATTATTTCTACCACCATCCGATCTTTGAGATAGAAATTTCGCATCACGATCATAAATTGTATAATTTCCTTTTCCACGCCACTTAACTTTAGTTACAGATTGTGAAAAATCTACATGAACTCTTCGATCGTCTATCAACGCCATATCCATAGAGAAGTAAGCTTGTTCGCATGAGTTTGTGTTTTCGAATTCAACGAATGCATATTGTAAAGATTCACCAGAAACTTTATCTCGAATAACTTCGCATGATTTGACTTTTCCATATCGTCCAAAAATGATTTTCAAGTCATCTTCAGTTGTGACAGGATTAAGTTTGCAAACAAAGAGGACATTTTCAGGTGGTGCAATGTCAGCGTCGGGTATGTCACCAACAATCTCTAAAATAGTTGCACGAGCCTTAGCTTCTCGTTCTTGAACCATTTCTATGACTTCAGCTTCTGTCTTTCCTTTTGCATCGTCGATTTCTTCATCAGCAGCGATTCTTCCATTTTTCAAACGTTCAGCTGATGGTGACGGACTTCTACTGGGTTGACGAAATCCTCGTGGATCAGAAAATGGATCATCCAATACTACAGTGTGCGTTATTCTTATATCTTTAAATGGTCGAAAATTCTCATCCACAATTGTTTCGTTAAGTTGACGTAAAACTTCATGTCCTTCCACAACTTCGCCAATCACACAATGAATGTTATCCAAAGATGACAGGTCAGGTCCCAAAGTGAATAGGAACTGAGATCCAATAAAGCTCTTCCCATCAGACACCATACTAGAAGGTAAATTAATCATATTAAGTTGGAAAATCAAAATTGTAAGCTTAACAAACCTCAATAATCCCGGTTCACTATGAAGAATCTTTGGAATATTTTCAGCTTCAAAGAACCGTTCACTGGGACCGTGAATGACACCCCAAAATGACTCTCCTTTATCTCCATCACCTGTTGGATCACCCGTTTGTGCTATGAAGTTTTGTTGGATTGTGTGGAATAAATTAAAATTATAATATTTCAATTTACAAAGTTTCAAGAAATTAAGACAAGCTTTCGGTCTTTCTTTCAGAAACAAGTCGACAGTTATGTCACCTATAGTCGTTTCAATGACTACTGACATTTTTCAAATAAATACTCTTTAATTATAATGCAGAAATCGATTTTAAACGCGATGTAAACAATAGAAATGAACACAATCAGAAAAGTTCAAAATGAAGTTCAAAAGTTGACTACAATTTATTACCAACAACCCTTTGAATTCACACTTACGTACCCTCCGTGCAAAAAATTTCACATTCCAACAAAAAAAGATGGAAAGGGCAAAATATTTAAAATACATTTAAAATCAATGTTATCAAATGAAAACAGTGCTTCGCAGGAAATGAACGGAAACGAAGAACCAATTGAGATTAAAGTCGAGCCGGAAATTCACGATCTTTTGCCGTAATTTTACAAAAATTTGTTTGTTTTTAATTTCATTCATTGAATATTTTTCTTTTAAACTTGCACAGATTTGAAGATTTCGATATCGATCAGTTTGTTGATTATCTTCAGAACGATGAAGAAATCGCAGGCAATAATCTCCATCTGAATGAATCGTCACCATCGCCGAATCATCAATCAGGATATGTAAATAATTTCACACATGAAGCAACTACGCAATCAACATCCGAGAAATTCTTTTACACATGCACTGTGTGCAGGGAGATATTGGGCAACAGCCAGGAATTGTTAAATCATGTGCGAACACATACAAGTATGAAAGTTTATAATAGCGAGAACAGTCGAAAGGTGAGTCAATCACAATGTTACAAAGGTTGCGATTTCGTCATTGAAATTTGTTTTTTGTTAGAATTCTCATGGACCAAAATGCAGCATTTGTCATCGAAAATTTAGCGATCTTCGAAATCTATCAACACACGAGAAAACCCAACATTTGCCACCTTTCAAGTGCCGATTTTGTGGTGCAATGTTCAGTTTATTGAAGTATTACAAGGTCCATCTGAACCTCCATTCAAATCAAAAACACCGCAGCAACGTACGCGTACCTGAAAGTAAAATGAATAACAATAAGCAGTGGAATAAATCGAGTACTTCTAACTACAGATCGTTAGTACAAACATCCAATCAAGGCCTTTCATCGCAGCTCAATCAACAAACGAAGCATCATCTACCGCAGCTATTACGTTGCAAATATTGTCATAAGCAATTTTCAAAACTCTCCAGCTTCAAGAAGCATCAAATGCTTCATGAGACTGTTGAGGATCGATCAAGTGTTCAAGTTAATCCTGAATTGCAAAGCCAAAGCATATCACGAACAAGCAACGAGTTCTCTCATGTTAATCAGTCGTCATCATCGTCACTAAATAAATCAGGAAGTCTCACTTTGACTCCATCGCTTCTTTCAAATCTCAATAAGCTCGCAAACCTCAGTTCAACAGATTCTCGTGATGGAAAGAAGCCAGCAATCCTTATCAACATCAATACAAATGATCCATCAATGAAAGATGATTGTTCATCGAAATCACAAGAAATGCCAGTTGGAAGCAATAATTCTGGACTTATGATTAGTTCAGTTTCGACTATGGATAAGAAATGTTACGATAAAAATTTACAAAATCCAGCAAAAGCAACTGTCATGATTCAAAATGGAAAAAAAGCAATTTCTCTGTCCGATCTTCAATGTCCGATTTGTAAGAAAATTGTTTCTCAACCATTCAGTTTAAAAATTCATCTTCGAACACATACAATGGAGAGGTGAGTTAAATTTTGTCTTTTGTTGAAGAATAAGTCAATATAATTAATAATAGTGAAGACAAATGGTTTTAAATGGTTAATTAGTCTTTGATTCTGGGAATCGGTGATTCGGTCCGTGGTCCGTTTTTAGAACATGTTCTGAAGCTTAAAATGTCCAAACCTGATTTGTGTCTGCGGACCATATGTGTTTTTTCAGAACGTATTCCAAAAACGGACCCCGAACCGAAGATCTGCTGGGAATTTTACTCAAAGTTCTCAAATTCAAACCTTTCATTTGCAGGCCTTTTACATGTACAGTGTGTGGTAAAAAATTCAGTCAAAGTTGCAATTTGAAAACACACATGAAGACACATTCGATAAAACGTCCTCAACAACAGCCAATGCAGTGCAATATTTGCAATAAAGTTTTTTCACGCGCATCTTCTTTAAATTCCCATATGATTTCTCATACAGCAAAGCTTTATTGCTACGCTTGCAATATAAACTTTGAAGACGATGTTTTAACGTACTCACAACACATGCAATCACAGCATCTCGTAACAATGACGAAAGATTGTATGAGTCGTACAAGAATAAATTTACAACAGCAACAAAATGAAAGTCAATTGCATCATCGCAGTAATGAGTCACTGGCTTCTATCGTAAAAGTAGAACCGAACGAGACTTTCCACACAGAGGATAAACCGCAACAAAGACTTATGGAAGTATTTCAAGTGCAATCATCATCCGTTACTAATGGCCAAATACCAAAATTGAAGATAACAATAAAGAAGGAACCGATGCAAGAAAATAATTCAGACGATCCACCCAAACATGATGAAAATGATGATGGAAATGAAAGCGATTCAAGTTCATCTTCAGATTCATCGGACTCATCAAGCAGCTCTTCAAATAGCAGCAGCAGTAGTTCTTCCACTTCGTCAGACTCCAAAGACGATCAAGACAATAAGTGAACCTTTTGAAAATAATAACTTAACATAAAAATAATAATTAGACAATACTCGACATGCATCCATCATATCAATAACAATAATTACACCACAAAAACAGTCATTTTGTGCTTAGCGCAATGCTCTATAAAGTATACGTTAATTATAGTATAATTTTCAGTTTTATACTATCCTTAACAATCAATAATCCGATGATGATGATGGGTAGGTTTGGAAATTTTTGATTTTATTCTTGAATTTTGAATTTCTGATTAAATACAGTGAACTTTTGATTTAACACACTATCGATGCAGCATTTCTCTCGATAATACGTCGCTTCTTGCTAGCGAAATCTGTAGTAAAACGTTGTTCTCTCGATGCAACACTTTCTTCGGTCCCTTGGCTATTGTTATATCAAGACTTCACTGTATTTACATAAATCTATCCACACCAGACTTAAACTATCAAACTATTCTGCTGAATCTCCTTAAAAACTTCAACAAAATATCTTGCAATAAAAGAAAGAAGAAAAACTTAAAGAAATAATTAAAATTATTAAAATCCTTTGGTACTTATAAAGTTACGAATTGACTGTTAAAACTCAGGAATTAGGTGAAAGATTTTATTTAGAATTCTTTATTTTCACGTTTTACGATAAGAATTTTTGATTTTTCTTTGTTTGGTTGGAAATTTGTTTCAATGGTGTGTAAATATTGATGAATAGAACCAAATCAAGCCTCCTTTTATATATCTAGAATGAATTGATGTTAGACAAATTGGTTGCGAAATAAACAGACGAATCCTTAGATATTTTCTATTCATTTCCATGCTGTTGTTACGCAACATTGAAATTGAATTTTTTTTATTCTTATCGAACAAAGTGTATCGAATAAAAAAGCTAACTAAACATGTTACATCGTTGATAAAAAATTTATTGTTAATCTTATTCCTCAAATGAATAAAGTGAAACGTAAATGAAAATTAATTTAGGGTCGTTTGATGTTTTTCGATTCGAAGTAAGATCAATTTATCTATGTTTACCGATGTGGGTGAAGAATGGAGGAATGACCAGGGGAAACGATCTAAACTAGTTTGAAACTCGGAAGTTCCGCATGAATTTGCTTCATTTATTAATTTACCCTCATCTAAAAGCGATACCCTGTCATGATGAAGTGAAATGAAGTCTTGAAATGTAGTTTTTTATAATCCGATGCTTCACGAAGAAAGAAACGTATTGTGAAATATTGTTCATAAGTGTAGAAAATATTTTTAATATTTAAAAAATTTTCTATTCAAATATTTTCCCCTTATTTATGAAAAGAAAAATTATAATTATATTTATGCATATGTACACACATGATCAGTCATTAAAGTTCATGTTTGGAAACATCGCACATGTTTCCATCACGTTAAGGATTAATTCATGCTTGATTCGCCAATTTGAAATTAACTTCAACTTGGTAGTTAGACACATCAAAAAAGTGTCCCGTGGGTTATCCAGGCAAATCAATTGTGTCAAATCCTCGGGTGTCACGCTCGAAGAGAAAGTCAACTAACAAATAAACAAATCCTTTAGTGCGAATGCTGATTGAGGAGATTAAAAAGGGTGATTGTAAAATTTAAGTTAAGAAATTTTTTTAAAAACATCTGTAAAACGGAACCCTACGATTTGTACCGCAACAAAAAAATTCCCTCTTTATGTTGCTGTTTGACACGAATGCAGAATGTAAAAGGAATGTGGAAGAGTTGCAGATAAACTCATCGAAACATGATCTCGTTACAAAGGGTTCTGCCCTGGGCATTTAATTTATAAGTTAGAACATAAAATTATATTTGATGAGAATGCCTTGATTTCTGTATTTGATTTAAATTATAGTATTTTGTCAAATTTCCGATGGTTTCACCCCTTGGATTATAATCTACCAAAATTATTTCAATCTTGGGTTTGTGAAATTTGACTCCAAACAAAAACAGCGACGCCGCTGCTAAACACCCGTAAAAGAGCATTCGATGTGAGTTTATGATATAAAATACTTGTTACATAATGTTTGCCATTCAATGTTAAAGTTTATCACGTTAAGAGGTTTTAAAAATTTAGACAATTTAAAAGAAGATCATTGTGTAGTTGAATTACTTCCCACAGCTGATTTCAAATTGGATAAAGTAAAACGTGGAAACATTTCATTTTATTTAGGGTTGTTTAATAAGAAGAGATTTACTGCCCGTGTTCAGTCAACAATGATGACCTGTACATGTTACATCTGTCAAATTCTATTCTTATTGAGTTACCCAGGGAAATTTCTTATCATGCAACAAGAAAATCAAAATGATTTATTTTGTTCTTTTTTTCTCTCAAATATTTTTTTTTATTCTTCATATCTCAAATAAAACTCACTTAAATATTTTAATTATTAAGTCATTAGGAAAAGAATTAGGAGATATCTATCTTGTTACTTTATAAGGTATTGGATTAAGTAGTACAAGCTTCTAACTTATCGTTTTTGATTGTTGACAGAGATGATGATGGTTTGATGGGCGATAAAAAATTTTCGACGTTTACATTTTGTATCCATCGTTGAGTTCGTTTGTTGTTCGTTTCACCTCCTTCATTTTCAATTGTTTCTTGGAATTGATAATATGATTGTGAAGAAGAGTTTCTGAAGCTCAAACATGGAAAAATGTTTTGACTTGTGCTTGGTGTTGTGAATGAATGAGATCGATGAGACATAAAAATTTTATTGCTAGGACGTAATGATGAATCCTCCGATGTTTGAAAAATATTTGATGACAGCACAAGGGAATTCTGTGAGTTCATTGCAAAGTTGGGGAAGTTTAATTTGTTATGAAATTCACTTAAGTTTACATCATCATCACAAACAATTGACTCTTCATCGGAATCGGAACAAAGATCTACAATTTGACTGCTTTGTTTTTTCTTTTCTCGTTCTTTCAATTCACGAATCTGTCTGAAATTCTCTTGAATTTTATGAATCTCGCTGCTTGACAATTTTTGTAACGTAACTGAACATTGTGTTAAATTTTCAATCAATGAACGATTAAGAAATTGAAAATTCTCTTCTCGAGATTGCGAGTGAAGTGTTCGTTTCGGCCGATAATAAATTCTTGGTTTTCTCATGTATTTGATGACAGCGTTTTCCGGTCCAGATTGTGCTTTTTGTTTAACACGTGGTACAACACGAATCGTTGGTTTCGCAACGCAATAAGCTTCGATTTCAGCCAAAGTCTCTTCAATCTCTTCCGGAGTGACAGTCGACTTCTTTGTAAGTGCAATGCCGGCTGGTGATGAGAACGGTATTGCCATTTCCAGATCTCTTTCTTTCTTGCTTATAACCTTACGAGTTCGCGGCATGGGACGTTTCTTTTTTGGTGAGAAACTTCGCTCCATTAAATAGTTATTTCTTCGAGGAAGCTCATCAGCGTTAACGCTTGCGAGGAAAAAATAAGCCATGAAGTCTGCTTGTCCGTTTATCTCTTCTTGTTCTTCTGTTTCGTCTTCATCGTCGCTTATCACAATATTATCAATGATTGGAAGTTCAGGTTCTGCTTTGTCACCACATTCTCTTTCATGTTGCTGGCATATGGGAAAAATAAATTGACAAATTTTAAATGAAATGAAATGAGATATGGTCATTTGAAGTTTAATTTCAGGCAATTATCGTTTCTCGATGAAATTTTGAGGGATTTTTCCAATTCGGGGAAATTTCATTTCATTGACAAGAGAACAAAATTTCATCGAATAAAATTTGTTGAACTCTTATTAAGTAATGCGGAGGGGGAAAATGTGTAAATATAGGACTCGTGGTACAGTGGACTCTTGTTACACTCGATGAACTGATGAGTTTCAGAATCCACTGATCCGATTTTTATACACTGAAACTTCGATAAACAGATGACTCAAGGTGAATCAGTTTATCGAGGTATTCAGTTAATCGAGGCAATTTTTCATACAAATTCGATTCAAGGGGATAAAAAAATATCTGTTTATCGAAGTAACTGTTTATCGAAGTTCCACTGTATTTAGAACGCATTCGATAAACTAATAAGCTCGGCGCATTAATATTTTTTGTCTCCTTAGAACAATCAGTTTAT